CTATTTTTACCCCATAAAATCCCCCATAGACCCCCGTTACCATAGTTCGATCATGCTGGTTCGCGAACTCGTTAGAATAAATCAAATTTCATCAAAATCTGATCATTTTTGCTCAAGTTATCGTGCTAACGGCCACACACACACACACACACATATTATATATATATGAATGTGAACGGATGGTGTTTTTGGCCTCTAGGGACCTTAAAACGAAAAAGTAAATTTGTCCCGGGTCCAGGTCTTACCATGAGTACTACTGTAATAGCTTATTCTATGGGAAATTCACTAAAATTGGCTGGTGATTTGTTTTTAAAACATAGACTAATGCTGCTTTTTCCTACTCTTCACAAATGAAATCATTCATCTCTTGGAAACACTGATTAAGATCAAGTACCTCTGACTCATTGTTGGAGTCTGGTACATTCCAGATCTATGGATCAGTCTTAGTTTAAAAATAAGTTTTACATGATTTGATTTGGTTGGTTTAAACCTTGGCTTTTTTATTTAGGTAGAGGTGGCTTACTGAAACTGTTATTAAAACAGCTTTAGGTTTTTCTAGTCAATTATCCAAGAATTATACAAAATTAGACCTACCTAGTGACTAGGCAATATTCTTGGTGATTCAATGGTGTTTTAAGATATATTGAACTATTTTAGTGGTGTCAGCTACTGTAGTGATAGTAAGGTGATTTTGGAAAATTCCCTTAGTCAGCGACTCAACAGAAATTATGTACAAATTCATTTTGAAATGTAAAAACGCATCGATATTGCTTGACGATTTTTGAAAGCTACTCTAAATTATTTTATACTTTAATAGAAAAATACTCAGAATGTATTAAAGGAACTTGATTCAAAAGGTTGTAAAAATAATTTGTGACGAACAAAGATGGACGTTTACACTTTTGAAGGAATAGTTTCAACAAGTTTTGAATCTGGGATTTATTTCTCATAGTAATGTGCCGTGATTGTCCATACTTGAATGTTCAGTGAATCATTTTTGTTAATGTAGAGATTGTTTACAGTCTGCTGCCCTCAGTGAGCAGATCGTTATGAACCTTAGTGCAATATTTCAACCTTCTATACCCTGTGGGGTACCCTTTTTCTGGTTTGGGTGACTTTACCACAAAACAATTTGTAGATTTTGTCAAATTTTTCTGTTCTCCTTGTCCACCACATTGTGAAATATCATGTGCTTGGTTAGAATTATATTTTGGCAAGCAAATTTTTGTAGGACTGTTCCTTCAATTAAGGAATATTATCATCACATAGATGTAGTTTTCTGCATTTTAAACCGGTATAAGGAGTTATTTATGTATGCTTTGAAATAGTGTTTTCAAATTTTATTTGTCTTTGATCTTACGAATATCTTTAAGTGATGATTTAAACATGTTTTTCAGTTAATGCATACGAGGTACGACGTAAACACTCTGTCAAGGACACATATTTTTACCCAACCTCAATTTTGTTAGGTGTCTACTACGAAAGTTTAGAAGAAATGTTAGTGAACTTAAACATTTTGTAATGCCGATTACTTTAATTTTGTATACTAGTACTCAACTAGGTCTACTCTGATACCTGATAATATTAGAAGACAATTTATACAAAGATAAGTCCCTATCAAGGACACAATTGCAATTAGTGGGTTCATTGGCAGCAATAAAACAAATAGTGAAGTGGATAAGTGAATAAAACGAGTACCGGTATATCACAATATAGCATTCCTTTAGTATTATTGGACATGGTTCAAATCATACATTAGCTTAATAAGAAGTATTTTGTTTTGCTTGGCACGGTGTTCAGGCTTTCCCTATTGTTATGTACTAAACAAACTGATTTCAACAGATAGGCTGTGTCATAATAAACCTGTTACGCTCTGAATCAGATTGTTACTAATCTACCAGTTTAGTTTGAATGTTTTGAGTTTCAAAAATATATTTATTTCTTTTGTGACTAAATACAATGGAACAAAGTAACATAATGGATGTCTATAGTTAGGCTATACAAATTAATTTGCTCTGCATGGTAAACCTACTCTTTATTGTTGTTTAGAGCAATTTAATTTTTTTAAACGGAGTGTAAAATTCTTTTATATTTAGTTAAACATTTGTTAAGATAAAACCATCCATTTAACAGCTTAAGTCTAAAATTTGAAGACTATTTCCATTTCATGTAAATTGAACTGCTATTTATTCAAGTTTTTAAAATCTGTAGCAACGCAATAGATTTTGTGAAGTCATCTATCTAGTCTATCCTTCCCATTAATCCTCCTAAAAATCCCTTTAGTGTTCTTTCTTAAACAAAAATCACAGATCCACAACCATATTTTTAAATGATAGGGTATTGTTGGAAAAATTTGGAAGGAATACAAATCTTTATTGAATTTACGTTCATAACTTTCCGGATGTGTTCTAAATACACTGGAAGATGCTGAAACATGAAGTCCTCAGCCTATGGCTCTATGGCAACCCCTTAGTTTGGTCCAGACTTTGAGTGGGGGGTGAGGGGTGGATTATTGATCTGTAGATAGGGTGAGAAGATCAATAACTGCAACCCTTACTGATGCGGTTGTTGATGGCAACCGATTATTGTTCATTGTTATTGTTATTTACTCACTAGAGTATGAACTTGTTAAAGCTATTGATCATCATCCCTTGAAAACTTATAAATTGGTTTATTTCACAGATACATTTTGTAGATGTAAAAAAATAAATTTACTCAAACTACGGTATTGGTTTTTTTATCCATGTGATAGCGGTTTTTAAAGTTTAACATCCTTTGGAGGTCGAATCCAGGTTTCAATTTATTTTAAGGTAGTTAAATGTTTTTCAATGAATGATTGTACAATGGTTGACATAGGAGAGCTCATCCGATTCTCCTCTTTAGAACATTATGTCCTTCGGGGGGTTTTTTTTTTCGGATATATTTTTTTTATTTACTGTTTACCATGTAAAAATGTTAATAATAAACTAGAAATTTGGGAAGAGGGGGGGGGGGTATTTTACAGGTTTAATTTAAAAGGACTTGTATTGATTTTGGAAATTTTTGTCAAGACCTTTTGTGTTCCCGAGTGTAGGTCGAAATTTTCAAATCTCAAAACCGATCACTAAACTTTTTTACTTGCTTGATTAAGGTTACAAAAGATACAGGTAAAAATAAAATGTTTCTTGTGCTATCAAAACTTAAAGAGTTTGACGCCTGACCTACTTAATATTCCTACAGGGGGGATGCAGAATACTACGCCCCCGAAAACCACCCTCCCAGGTGAAACGTGACTATACTATGTGTTTAAGTTAATTTCATACTTAATAATTATCATTGAAATTTTAACTCGAGTAATTCCATTTGATAACAGAAAAGCAGGGTGTCCACATTCTGGAATGTCAGGGATAGTCATGGAAAGTCATGGAAAAAAATTCTGGTCATTGAAAGTCATGGAAATAGACAAAATGTCATGGAAAGTCATGGAAATCCCCAATGATGAATGGATTTTAGGGGACCATTCAATGCTCTAGTCGGACTATTGTAGCATTTTTCAGGATGTTTCACAAATGTTTGACAATTCAATTTACTACAGTTGTGAGTTTTGAGTCTGTAATAGTTCATTGTTTTATCTATTGTACTCCATTGTTTTCTGTTAATACATGTTTCAGTATTTTCTGAGAAATAACTTGTCTTGGCAATATCATTCGTGTGAGTATGTTAAATTATAATTTTCGAGTAAAGTTCGTGAGTCATGGAAATCAATGGTAAATGATCATGGATAGTCATGGAAAGTCATGGAAATTAATGACAAATTTTCTGTGGACACCCTGAAAAGGCATGTGGGGAATTACAAACAGAATTTTGAAATGTGACAGCATGTTTGGTTGGTTATATTAGGTTAGTTTAGAACAGTTTGACAACAAAACTTGAGTGTCCGTGGCTGGAAAACTGCTACCCCGATCTCTGATGTTAACATGACGTAGGAACCTGCTTGGGAGGGTAATGTTTCGGCACAGAAAACGTACTACTATAACCCAGAATGCCAACCGCATGGTAAAAAGCATTAAGTGTTTTGAGAGAGCTTTGCCTGTCAATCCGTAGGCAGCGCCACCAGCGTTGCCATGCAATAGCATAGCAACGCTGGTGGCGCTGCCTACGGATTGACAGGCAAAGCTCTCTCAAAACGCTTAATGCTTTTTACCATGCGGTTGGCATTCTGGGTTATAGTAGTACGTTTTCTGTGGTTTCGGGGAACAGTCTTCCGGCGACTCCTTACAGGATGTCACAAAATTTTTCAAAAGTGCTTAAAAAATGTCTAATGTGCAATATTCTGAGGTTTTTTTTCTGTTATACACAAAAATGATGATCCGAAATATGTCGGCAGTTTCTGTTTTCAGCCTAAAAAGTCGCCGATAGAATCTCACAACCGAATCTTTTCCTAAGCTTTGGTGGTTTTGAGTTTTGACACATCATCGCTGCAATATCCACTACTGGCCCATCAACAGTTTCTTACAGGTTTTCCATGTAATTTGAGATGTCTACATGTCTCAGTATTCTTTATTCAAAGCAATGTAACACTTTTTGTCCTAAACAAAGATGAGGTATTTATAAAAAAAAAATTCCATAGTTTTTGTATCTACCTTTTTAGTTTAATTGGATTTAAATTCTCATTTTGTTTGATTTGGATTTCATCGGTGATTAGTACCCATAACCTATCATAAAATATAAAGTATTCCTTCTTGTTTCTTTGTTGGAAAGCTTTGTTTAGCATAGCTGAAAATCCAAATTTCCAAGGACTGAAATTAAGGAAGAAGATAAGTCGGATAGTAAGGCAGTACATTAGTGCTTACCTGAGGTTCCCGTAGTTTGTTTTGATCCAAAAGTTGAATTTACATTTTGCAGTTGACCCTCGATCTTCCAACATTTTTATAAAAAACTTTACTCATTGAAGGTTGTCTCACTTTTAATTCTTATTGGACACGACTATTTCAAAATTTTTTACGATTGCTATGTTTCAGATCAAGAGCCATGCGTATGCTTTCGTTGGAGCAGCTGTGCACACTTCTACGGTTTGCTCTTAATCGGATGAAAAGTTATGAAGGGGTGAGTGAATTGGTTTTTTCCATGCTGAAGCAGAATTCGTTCAGTTTTCATGTTTATTTTTGTTGTATAGTTTAATATAATTGTTTACATTATTAGCATAAGAGAGAATTATTTATGAAAACTATTTCTAAATAAAATAAAAATGTTGGTATGTAAAATTATACATACTATGAAATTATTTCTAATACAAGTTTTGCCTAGAGTTGATGTAAAAGTGCATATGGTTGCTTCAAGATCTAAGTTTTTTTACCACAAGTAAGGAATAATTTTTGCCAAAGACACGTAGACTTACACATCTACAGATGTAATGTAAAAAAGTCCTACAGGGACCTCAAAGAATTTATTTCCATGTTTGCAATGAAATGGAAATTATTTTGTTTAAAAATTTTGGACTTAATTTCTAAAGTTTAAATTTAATAGTTGCCAAAATTGAGAATACAGTTTATAACATGTTAAAATGGGTTATCTTAAATGTATTTAACTGATGATTACTAATCAGAAATATTTTGACCTGTGCACTAGTGCCTCAGATGCAAGTGGGCTACAGTTTTTCCAAACCGTTTAAAAAAGAAATATGGTGTTTGAACTTATTCAGCCTTGATTACGTATATGATTTTGACGCATACACTAAAATACCTTTACCCTACTAATTCTATGTTGATAGGTTGCTGTATTTTTAAAGGAAGCCAAGCTCAAAGCCATTTTGTTCTTATCTAATAAGTTGTGTTATTGATATCAGTAAGATAACAAAGATCTCACAGAACCTTGGAATCTGAACCACATTTACTGTAAATAATGTAAATGTATCTTTTAGGCAAACAACCATTATACTCTGTCTGCCATAATCGTGTCCTCGGAATAAATAAATTAATAATTTTTAAACTTGCTTTTGAAAATTTATTTTTGAGAGCCGCTAATCGATTATTGACAAAAATGTTAAAATAAATTGTTGAAGTTCATAGACAGGAACCTAGTCTCAGTTCATGTTAGATGAAAATGCATTATATGCTCTAATGGTGTTGTACGAATGTAGTACAACAAATCAAATCATGGTAGAGGTCGAGCTAGGTACAGAGGACTTGCAAGTTCTAACTTTGCCACCCAAATAAAGTAATTTTTCATTTAGTTTTTAGCAAATTTTCTTGTTTGGGAAGAAGCTATTACCATAGACTAAGCAACACAAGTAGACTTCTCATCCCGTTGTAAATTTTTAAACTTTTGTTTTTCGTGCCTATTTCATGTATGTCGACACTGTTCGCTAGTGTAGACAAAATTTTGATTATATTATTTTAGGGTTATTTTAATGATTTGTGTTTTACTGTTCGGTTATATAACTAGGAGACCAGTTATTGTTTATGATTTGATTGTTTTATTTGGTTAATTGAGGTTTTAAATTAAAATAACAAAAAACTAAATTGTAAACAAAACACAACCTCTACAGTGTGACGTACAGAACTAACAATAAAATTGGCTTCAGCTGTTCCATAAGGATAACAAATCTACTAAGGTAGTAGATGGCACGGTAAGACCTAGACCTGGAACAGATTTACTTGTGCAATTTTGTGTTACCATAGACCAAAAACACTATTTATTAAAATTGTTTTATATATATATATATAGCCATAATTTGAGTAATTGTTGTCCAATTTTGATTAAATTTGGCATGAATGTATAGGGCTTGATAATTTAAGCTGAGATGCATTTGCGAATCAGCAAGTTGGTAATGGGAACAGGGTGTTTTATGATATTGACATTTTTTAAAGTTTGTTTTTAAAAACTGCTACCCTTAAAACATAAGAATAACCAATTTTAATTTGATCCATCGTCAAGAGCTTATAAAAAGAAACTATTTTGTATATCGCAGTGTTGTTGTGCAATGGTTATAGAGGAAAATCCAGAACAAAAAGGCTAGGGTATTGTTGGGTATATAAAACTGAAATGCAATAACAGCAATGCAGACAATAATGCAGTAAACCTAAATGCAGTCGCCTTAAATGCAATAACCCCAATGAGTCAGCTGCGTTTATTTCTAGAGCTACGAGGGAGGAGGACAGTCTAGTCCATTAACTCACTCCCCTGCCGTTAACTCACTTTATATGACACAATAAAGTATTTATAGTGGGCTGCAGTATAGTTTGAGGTTTAATGCATTGAATAAACTTAGATTGCGGAAAATAACTCATTTATGTCTCCATTGGTACAGTATCCAAGTGAAACGTATTTAAATGTTATCCTGATATGCTACAACCACTATTCAGTTTTCACCCATAATTATTTAGGATAATCTTGTTAATTAAACAAGTTTCAGTAGCCTACCTATTAGTTTATATTGGCTGAAATATTCTATACTGTACACTAGTACGTATAACGTGACCATTTTGTCAGTATGGTCTTAGAGCACAAAAAACACAGCTTTGTGAAAACTCATAAATATATATTTTTAAATGATCTGAAGTAACCTTTAATGTTGTTGATGCTAGATCCACTTCCAATCTTATGGGTTTTTATTTCTTTGGTGCTTAAGAACAATGATCATCCATATAATTTTTCATTCCATTAAGCAGAAATTGTCCTTGTTTATTTGTTGAACAATGTCAGTCTGATCCGCCAATGCAATGCAATAAATCTTCAAACTCATAATAGGTTATGTAAATATGTACTTTTTTCAATTCATAGAATTAATTAATAGTTTACCACAAATTTTGTAGATGCTCAGTAGTATTTGTCATTTTTCATGTTATAATAGAGTAGGTTTTTTCAAAGGATTTGGAGAAAGTTTTATAATTATTCAGGTTCTGTTTTGTCTATCATTTGTTCAAACAATTCTGATTTAGTTTTATTTTCATTGAATATATATATATATGTATATATATTTTGTTGCTTAATTGTTTACTACTTCACTTGGATACAGTCATCAAATAATATTCAAAATAATTTACAGCAATGTTTGCTTTAATTTTACATTACATATTTGATTAAATCTAAAATATTACACCTATACATCACAATTTGAATTGTTTTCACATTTCAAAGAAGAGTTTTGCCGCTTCCAACAATCAGTTTCGATTGGACACTCAAATATTATTTCAACAACCCCCCAGTGTTGTCTTGGAAGTATAAACAGTGATGTGACCTTGGTTAGTTCCACTTGGCAACCCTGCCCCCCCCCCCTCCGTGATAGAGACAGCATGTTCTCCTACAGACTGGCTGTTGATGTTGAGCCACTGGTGAAACCCACTTCAGACGAACACTGGGTTTATAGGTCACACTCACATGTTTGCATCCTGCCCACTCATGTTGTGTTAGTAGATAGAGAGAAAGAACAAAATGTCTGCAGGAAATTGTTTGGACCAAAGCTAAAAAGTTATTTGTTTGCCTTCCCTGTGCACTTTACGTATAAATACAAATATTATATATATATATATACATGTTTTCAACGGTTGAAAATAAAAAAACTAGTTATTTTGGAACGTCTTTACAGAACTGTTGACTAGAAAGTAGGCCTGTGGATCAAATTATTTTAGGTTTATATATAACAGGATAAGGTTCACCAACAAAGCACCTTTCAGTGTCATTGAATTTTTAATAATTAATAAATATTTTTTTGTCATAATAACTTACTTACAAAAAAATCTGGCAATTGTCTGTGAGTGACAAGTTGTATATGACTTCTTTATATTTAGCTAATTTAACTGCTGCTAAAAATACAACCAAATAGAGTCTAAGTTTTAATTTTTAGGTATATGGTGAAGGAAAGCTCTATTTTGGGCAGTTGATAGTGATAAAGCTGGCAAAAGTTTTCGAAAATCGGCATGACATAGTTTTTATGCAGCGCAAAGTGGGATAAGCATATACTTACACTTTTCCTACTGAGTATATTTTGTTGCTGGAAATCTTAGCAAGCAGGATGGCTCTTTCCTACCATAATATTTTACAGTGGTTTTCAAATCTGTATCTACACTTTTTTTGTGATACAAAATTTTCTCTGATAGACATCTGCCTGTAACAATTATTTGAAACTTAATCTGAAAGTTTATGAAAAAGACTTTTAACATACCAAATACGAAACGCTAAATATGAGGCAAGTCTACAATGAGTGATAGATAAAAAGCGTTATCTACTCCAACAAGGCTGCATCTCGTTAGCCAAAAGTATCAGCCAAGTGCTTGGATTTCTGTTTCATTGTTATATTCACTAGTAATTGATTTTTTACAGGCTGAAGATTTTGCCAAGCCCGTTGACCTTGTGCAGTTCCCCCACTACAGGGACTACATAGTGAGACCTATGGACCTGTCACAGCTAGAGCGCAACCTGAAGGCGCGCCAGTACGGCAGTACCGAGGCCTTTCTCGCTGACACTAAGTGGATCGTCCACAACTCTATCATCTTCAACTCTGGTCAGTTGATGGATAGCCAACTCTCTGATAAGTTAGGTGATCTGGAAAAATGGCATTTTATGAAAAAATCTCAGTACATAGTAACCTTCTTCTCGTTCAGAAAGCTTAGGACCGGACCTTTGTTACACAGGTTAAGTGTAAGAAAGGGCCATGTGGCCCTAACTTTGCCTGTTTAAATAAATGATTTTTCATTTCATTTTCATTTCATTTGTCCTATCTTAAAAAGTCCTGCTTTTCAGATGTCAGTTGACAGGGTAGGCTTAGTTGAATTTTCAGATTTGAAGGTCTGAGTTTTGATTCCAAGCGAGATCGATTCGGTACCAAGACGCCATTTGTCACTGAGCTATCAATCACTGGTGCACCGAAAAAGTCGGTATGGTACTGTTCTGGCTTAATTATTTGCGGTACAAGTTCAGTTCCGTACAGCCTATTATAATAATAAATTACTTTCAATTTACTATCGTAGTCAACGGAAGGAGTTCGTTTGGAGCACATAATAGGGTTTTTAGATTGTTGTTTACGATCCTCATAATTTATTACTAGAGTAATGATGTAATAAAAAACCCATTAGCAGTCCCAAATCCATTAATATTTTATCACGACAATAATCGTTTCCAAGAACTCATTGAGTTTTATAACTTTTATTCATTTATGACTTTCGTTATTTACTACTAGTGGAATAATTATTATGATATCCCAATCCCATTTTATTATAAAAATAATAGTTTTATAATGGCTGTTAAATTTTAATCAGTTTGTGAACATTCAATTTGCCACTGGCAACTGCCTTCTGCCATAAAACTGTTTATGGCATCATATTAAACTTGTAACTAATCTACACCTTTTTAAATTAAAACATTTTTAAAGTATATTTTATCTTTCTATTGACAAAACCACAAGCATTGTTTGCATTAGTTTTTGTTTTTGTTCTGCAAGCCTACTTTGGTCTCAAATTATGTCATTGCATGTTCTGTATCTTGTCTTATATTGTTGGATGTAGCTGTTCAGGTTTAAATGTTTTTTTGTTTCTTATATTTTTTTGATTTTGATGTAGATACTCTATGCAATCAAAATCTTATGAACTAGAATGATGATAGTGACTTTTCTACCCTCATTGTTTTGTACTCAATTTATATAGGCCCTCCTAAATAATTAGGTCTATACGAAATTCTGTCTATAGCAAACAGTGCTAACCGGCCGTGATTTGTTTGTTTATATGGTTACGTAAGTGTATGAATGGTACTCAGATCTCTATGTAAACCATTCAAAGTCCAAACACAAAAGCACGGACCAAGTGTATACCGTACCTAATGTCAGAAGAGTCTAAATTAATTTGCACTAGTTCCGATTGGCTGTTTTCGGAGTCTTGGCACTAATCCTAATTTATAAATTTTCCGTTACATTTAAAATTGATATTTACATTAATATGTTCTGATCGCAATAACTGATTACTCATTGAACCTTCATTAATCATTGTAGAATAAAAACAGGCCATTTCAGCATTTTGTTTTGACACTAAAATACATTTTTCATTCAAGTCATAAGAAATCAATATTTTTTTATATGCAGCAATTTTAATTCTGCGGTTAAGCATTTGAAACAGAGTTCATACAAATTTGTTGTTCAAGTTTTTAAATACAACTGCCAATGCTTACAAGCTTACCTAATTCACCCAACATAAGGTTGTGCGTCCTCTTCATAACATTACAAATGTGTTATATTGCCTTTGACATAGAAACACATCAAAGTAACAACTATTATGTGTGTATTACAGTCCAGTCAAAGTTTACCAACACCGCACGTGCTCTGGTCAAGCTATGCCGGCAGGAGATGCAGCACATAGAGAACTGTCCTGACTGCTACCTGAACTCACACACTCGCTCGTCCGACTCTTGGTTCACCGAGGCTTGTGTGAGTAATAATAACGTCACTGGACGAGTGTGCGAAATTACCATTTTTATTAAATAACAAATAATTATAATCAGCTGATGTTTGGAAAACTTATATCCGTACAGTTAGTAATATCTAATGAAATCCCATTTAATTAAGCAGGCGGGAAACAGCTGTTTTTCTCAACTAATCCATGTGTGGAAAGTCCATTTAAAACAGAGTAGTGAGGTGAAATAGTAGTTTACGCAATGATCGCGTTAAGACTATTTACGCAAGTTGCGTACACTACTTCACCTACGACGATTTGTTAACTAACAATCACTTCTCTTAACTTCTAAAAGAAGGTTATGTTTTCTATTTGTCAACTATTTAAAGGATTAAAGGATACTACATTTCATCAGCTATGGTGTGTTCATAAGTAATCATTTGAAAACCAATAGAATATACCATGAAAGTTATTTTGGAGCATTTAATAAATGAAGAATTTTATGGACTTTTCAAACCTTGACTTTTGTTTGTTTGTTAAAATAACAAAATTAGTATGAGGGACCAACACAGGAGGGGGGGGGGATTCTTTAAATATTTGCAAAATTAATTATCAATTTTACATTAACTAATATAACATCCTGCAAAGGTTTTGGTCTTGTATCATTTTTTACAATTCAACCGAATCAATCTGATTCATGGCCACATTTGAAACCTTTTGTTTGAGTTTCCTGTTGCGTTAGTCTTATTTCATAGGGCGTGGCCCGGTGACATTTGAGAATGAGAATGAATGAGAATGAGATTTTTATTTGCCAGTTAATATTCCATACAAATACATTGGCACGTCAAATTAGTCATAAGATATAACATTAATTAAAATCTAGTGGAGTCAGTGTTCTTGACATATAATCTTCTATTGAATATAATGGCTGATTACAAAGAAAGTTATTTATTTTAATCTTGAAATCCTTATCATTAAGTAATCTTATGGCTATTGGTAACTTATTATAAAATTTACTGCTTAAAATTAATGGTTTTTTATCAGTTTTAGCAAGTCTAACATAAGGAAGATTTATATTACATTTATGGCGAGTATTATGGCAGTGTATATCTCTCCTATAATCTAACTTATCTAATTGTGGTCTTAAGTATAACAGGCATTGCTTAATAAATAGAGAAAACAGTGTTAATATTTGGTATTCTTTAAAGAATTCAGTGCAATCATGGTGCCTATCTACAGCAGCTATTACCCTAATTGCCTTTTGCTGCAAATTGAAAATTTCTTTTGCATGAGCAGAAGACCCCCAAACAAGCAACCCATAGCTTATATGGCTATGAAAAAGTCCATAGTATGCCTGTATGAGAGAAGGCCGTTCTAGTTCGCCACATAATTGTTTAAGAGCAAATATACTTGAACTCAGTTTATTTTTTAAAACTATAACATGGTCATGCCAGGTCAAAGTAGAATCAAAAGTTAATCCTAAAAATTTTGGATTTCTCTCATCCATTGGCCTACTGTGTACTTCACGAAGGTTAAACAAAACAGTTTTTGTCTTATCATTATTTAGAACAAGATTATTAGAAATTAACCAGTTTTCAGCTAGCTTTAGATTATGCATAGAGTCAACCAAAAGTTGTTCATGATCTGCATGTCTAGTAATGATGGTTGTGTCGTCGGCATATAATACAATATTTGCAGGGATATTAACACTTAAATCATTAACTACTACCAAAAACAACAGAGGCCCAAGCACAGATCCTTGGGGAACTCCACAATACACAGGCTTAATAGATGATGCATCCTCTCCCAAAACTACATACTGTGTTCTGTTTGACAAATAAGATCTAAATAAATCTAACACTTTACCTTTAATGTTATAATATTCTAATTTTTTTAACAAAATTTCATGTGATACTCGATCGAAAGCTTTACTAAGATCACAGAATGTAATTGCAGCAAAATCCTTATTTTCATAACAGTCGAGAATTTCATCAACCAAGGAAGTAATGGCATGTGTCGTTGAAAGCCCTTTACGAAATCCAAACTGTTCTGTACAAAGGAGTTGATTTGATTCTAAGTATTGCATTAACTGTTTACCAATAACTATTTCAAGAACTTTAGACAGAACAGGAACAATGGCAACAGGCCTATAGTTACCTATTTCATCTTTTTTTCCTTTTTTGTAAATAGGATGAACTTTACTTATTTTAATGATATCAGGAAACACACCTTGAGCCATACAGTTGTTAATCAAAATTGTTAATGGGGTTACTAAGTAAGGTATGGTCTCCTTAATGAGAGCATTTGTCATTCCAAAATGATCCGTGCTTTTTTTTGGAGCTAACTGTTTTACTACATCTAAAACATCATTTTCCGTCACATATTTAAAAACTAAATCTCTAACACTATCAGGTACTACTTTTTTCCTTAAATAATGAGTAAAGTTACAACAATTACTTATTCCTACATTTTGACTAGAATTTACATTATCACAGGCAGTATTCACAAAATATTCATTAAATTCATCTGACTTAAAATAATTATCTACTCTACATTTGCTTGACTTATTTTTATGTTTATTTACAATATTCCATAAAGCTTTTGTTTTATTTTTGGCGTTTTCTATGGCATTAGCATTTTCCCTTTTTTTGGCATTTTTAATCTTACATCTATACACATTTTTAAGTTTTCTGTACTCATTTCTATACCAAACAACATTTGTGTCTTTATATAAATGGTAGAGAGAATCCAATCTTTCTTTAAGTTTTTGTAGCTCTGAATTATACCAAGAACATTTGTTGGAGGTCCTCTTTTTCCTTTGACATTTTTTTACATGTTTTACAAAACTAAGGTTAAAATAAAAACACAAAATATTTATAAAACTACTAAATGCTAAGTTAACATCGTTAATGTAAAATACCTCTTTCCAATTTTCTTTTCTTAAATAATACTTGAGTTCTCTTATACCAGCCTCAGTTATTTTTGTGACCGTTTTACCTTTACATACAGGAAAGTAATCCTTCTCTTCCACCCTATAATTATAAGTAAAAACTTGAGCAAGGTGATCACTAACATGTTTATTAACCACAGAGGCTGTATAATTATTTTCTAATGAGGTGAATATGTTGTCCAAACAATTATTACCTCGCGTAGGCTCATAAATTGTCATATGCAACCCATACATACTAAAAAGGTTTAAAAGGTTTACAGAGTCACTATCATTACTAAGAAAGTTAATGTTAAAGTCGCCACATACAATTGACTGTTTTTTCTGCCGATTGATTTGGCTTAGTAACTTTTCTAAGATGGTAAAAAAATTTTGCACATTTCCATTAGGACTACGATATATGGTTACTAGCAATAAATTCATGTTTATTATTTCAACAGCTGCTATTTCACAGTCTAAATCAACAGATAATTTATTCATATCATCCATTACTTTGATACATGATGGGTCATAGCGAGAAAAAATTGCTGAGCCCCCATGAATTCTAGAAGTTCGGCAATAGCTAGTTACATGATGAAGGTCGCTAATTGAACATATGTTGATTTCATTAACTTTTAACCAGTGTTCAGTTACACAAAGAAAATCTAAATTCATTTCTTTTGCTATCAATTCCAATGTATTGACTTTATTCAGAAGGCTTTGACAATTTTGGTGATAAATTGTTACAGTGTTTTTTGTGTGAACATTATTATAACTTTTATTACCTGTAAAACTATTGATTTTTTTCTTGTTTGTAGTTCTACCATTTATTAAAACATTATTACATTTGCTGGACTTACTTAAGCTAATTTCATCACAACTAGTAAAATTTATTAAATCTATGGGTGGGTCAGAGGGTCTAGTTGTTGTCGATGAACCGTTGAAGCCGGTGGGGTGGAGTTTCCCGACAGCAACTCTGTTCCTGGAGGAGGTGGTTGACTCGTATCTCCTGGTCTCTGAGGGCATCTTGACATCACTGGTACAGACACACCAGGCTCTTCTGTGTTAGATTTTCTTACTAATGGTTCCGGCAGTGTTTCCTCCAGTGGATGGTTGGGCTCAGGAATATGTACAGCAGCCATGTTAGGAACTTCTGACAATGGATTATGGGTCTGAAGATCGATCTTCTCCATGGGAGCGTAAAAAGACTTTGCTACCCCACAGATTTTTTGGGATAACCATAGTTTACCTTTGTTGTTCAGGTGCAAGCCATGGTGGGTATGAAGGTGCCTCCCTGCTTCATATGCATTTACCATCTTTACATTGGAGTAATTACAGCTCAGTTCACTCAGGATTCTATTTGTTTTCCGAATTTCCTCATTAACACACGACCACTCTGCAAGATCATATCTATGAGGAATATTCACCAGAATTATATGTTTATTAACGTGTTCGTCAAGAGCATCCTTTATTATACTTATAGCTTCATGTGCTTCATTACGTGAAACATCATTAGTCCCGCACAAAACTACTAATACATCTTCCTCTGTCAGCTTCTCACCCCTCAGGTTTGCTGGGTTAAGAACAAGCTTCGCCCCCCCACCAGGAGCTACAAAGGCCACCGTTTCGTGGGACTGAAGAATATTATTTATGTTCCGAGATAACTCACGTCCATGACTATCAGCGCACACCAACATCCTATAATCAGGCTTTTTTGGATTGTCTTCTGCTTTTTTGTAGGCCTGATTCGAATGGGTATCTTTGAAAGCTGTCAGTTTAGATGATGTTTTCCTTCCAGAAATCTTTTTCTTCACAGGCTTACTAATAAACTTATTGGTGACTTCAGGTGCGGAAGAGTCAGGTCCAATAGCACAAATATCGCTCCTGTCATCGTTTTCTGCTACATTAGCATCATGTGCTGTAAGAATATCAAAACGATTACTACATGGAATATTAAATGATAGACTTTCATTTTGAGTTGGAATTGGCCTTTGTAATACACTCCTATCATTACTCTGAACGTTTTTTAAAACTGGGTAACAGTGCAAACACAGATTAGAGTTCTGAGAACGGAGATTTGATACCTCACTTTCTAGGGTATTTTTATCTTGCTCTAACACTTTAATAATAGCATTAAGATTTTTTACTTCCTGTTTTTTTAGATTTAATTCTTGTAGAATAATTTGTGTTTGATAGTCTTTAGATATAGGTTTAGTTTTAGTACATTCCAACTAACTAATAACCGTGGCTCAAACGTGGCTGGGACGAAAGGCAAGGAAGCCGACTGTTAAACAGTTCCACTAAATCCTTTAGATTGGATTGGTTTTGTTATGTCTACAGAAGGGCTACGTGCCTCTCAAGTGGTCTGGAGCCAGAATGGGTCGTAAATCATAATGTCCGTTCTGTAATCAATCCCATTTCGTTTGACGACCGGTGTCGTGCCCACTGCTACTGCAGTTCACTCACCTCCATTTTACGATAAGGTCGTAACTCGTAGCCGTTTGCTAATCCGAGATGTGGCTGCCATCGTTTAGTCTAAGAGGTCTGCAAAAAGTGTTTTTATCGTTTGTGGTATTTTGTTTACTTAATTAATTTATGTAACTTAGGTGTGTTCAATGTAAGTTATTTATTTGACAAACTAATTTTGTTTACCTTAAAAATAAAGTTTCATATTCATTTAGTTAGTGGATTCTTCTTCAATGAAAGAATGTTATGAAATTTATTTAATTTTATTAGTAGACTTAAAATTTCTTTGATCCACCTTACTACTGTTAAATAACTCCTTAATTTGAACTTTTGTTATAATGATTAATAAAAGACTTAACATTACTTGATACATTTTTAGGCCTACTTCCATCTATGGATAATATTTTATTTTGTACCAATTATGATGGAAAATTGCTACAATAATCCCTTATGTCATATTTATATTTATATTACATTGTTGCACGTTGAATTGTAAAATGTAACTTTTGTAGCAGAGCCGATTAAAATAGGTTTAATGACAAATTAAAATAAAATATTTATTGATTAGAGTTATTAGACATTTTCCAATTTATTAGTTCACTTGTTTAAATCTTTTTCAGAACTATTTTACCTTTATTCTGATTTTGTACTTAATTTTCTAACAAAGATTTAAACTCTTTTACTATTGCCCATGATAATAGTAGGTGTGATTATTATTTACATACTCGTCTAGTTCTTTTTGTTGACAGATTATTTTCACTTATTTTATGCTTCAATTTCTTCTTGTCTGCTTCTTCATTTCAATTTCTTCACCTAGTGTTAGTTTGTCACTACCCCGTAGATCAATGATGAATGCTGTTTACCTATGTAATGTGTTGTCGTGTTGGTAGCGGAGGCCTCACATCCTAGTGTGGGCAAAACTGAAAGGTTTCCCGTTCTGGCCAGCGAAGGTGATGTCGGTAAACACTGGAAACGCTAACAATCAAGTGGATGTTCGTTTCTTTGGCGCTCACGACAGGTCAGTCAACAAACTGTGACTGCGAATGTAACGATGATTTTATTTGTACGTTGTACCTGATGTAAAATTTAGAAACTAATTATCAAACTATTTTTTAAAAATAAATTGTTGAATGAAGTAATGTTTTAAAATCTTTAATGCAAATTAAACAATGGCTTTTAGTTGTTTATGATGTAAAAATCTAAACAAAATTATCTATCTATTTTCAAAAATATTTTGCAATAAGGTATTGTTTCAAAATTTAGTTTTTTAGATCTTCAATCAACAAGACAAACACAAATACTTAGAATATGTAGGCCTATATATTTATTTATAAAGTCCTGATAAAACATTGGTGTTCCAGGGCGTGGATTCCTCTGAATCAGTGTTACCTGTACAGCAAACTTTCCCCGACACCGACAACTAACAACAAGAACAAACGGACCCTTGAGGAATGTCTGAAGGTTAGTCTAGTGATCTATGTAAGATATTAAATAGTTGGAAACTTATCAACATACAGTAAAACCCCTCTTAACCAAATCTAACGGGACCGAACCTAGTCGGATAACTCAAAAGGTTGGTTAAAACGGGCAATCCCCGCTTGTCAAATTATTTATAAAATGTATTAAAATAATTTGACATGCCGATGTATTTGTATGAAATTATTACATTGGTGCAATTTTATCCTTGACACAAATCAATTTTACTTTTGAGGATCAGTAAAAAAAAGTGAATGTCAGCAGATATAATTTTACATTATGTTCTAAATTGTATTTTATGAAAATTCCCCTTAGATTAGAGATTTAGGACTCTTTTTTTCTCAGTTTTAATATACCTACCTAATGTCTGTATTTTAACATCACTTATGTCCATGATTAGACAATGATCAAAAGATTAATCTAAAATCTTGTAGTAAAAAGTTTTAAAGATCAGTTTAACATATTATGCTTCTAGGAGTTGGAATACCACATCAAGAAGTTGCGAGACAAGTTCGGCCAGTTTGAGTACGCTCCGTACAAGACTCCCTACGACCCCAATAATGAAGACGAGCAGTTGCTTATGATGCTCCCACAGGTAGATACTCAATACAGTGTATCTGATTTCTGAAGTAGTCTTACGCTAGAGATGGGTCTGTTTTTATAGTTGGTTGTTGGTTTTATCAGTTTTAGCCAAAAAACTGAAACCGAAAATTTATAGTAGATGTTGGTTTGGGTTTAGGCCTATCGGTAGCAATGCAATAATTTTGCTGCGAACATGGAAAACGAGAGTAATTTTTTCCCAACCATGTTTTCACATTCAACATTTTGCCACAATCACTGAAGACAGTGATGATGCCGTAACAATAGATTATTGCGCAAATTTCTATCAATTAATGGTGGCAATGTTACACAAAGAATTTATCATGAAGCCGAGTTTGTACATGGGTCATTTGCCGAGGGTTTTTATTTATTTAACAATTTTTGTTTATTTAACATTTGCAAACGGCAGTGCTCATGTTTTCTGCTCCATTTTAATGAATATTTTTTATTCGTATGACGAAAAAACTAAAAAGTTAAGACTGTGTGGGCACTCTGCAAAAATATCATCAGAAATAGCCACATGTCAAATACTTGGCGCTCACAGAATGAAATGAAATTAAATGGACCAAAAATAACTGAAACCTGATAAAACAACCAAAACCAAAAATTGTAACTAGCAAAAACTATCATTGTCTAGAAAGGGCCAAACAAAATATTCTTTACAGATATAGGAATTTATTGTTTTACCAAAAGAGCTTTGTAATTTCAAATTGGAGCATTATGTAGATGTAATTTTAGAGATTTCTGAATTCTGTTGTTATTTAAATGATTAATTATCTTAATTTCCTCTGGTAAACCAGTTGAACTTGAAATCAACCACCTGGCTTTACTTTTAAATATCCTATTGGTATATTCAAATCTAATTTTTCCAGTTCGAGACCAAATCAGCAGGAAAGAGAATCCGACTTTCACTCCATCAGGATGGTGCTAGAAAATCCCTTGGGCGACGAACATCGTTCCCGAAAAACTCACCCTCAGTAGCGGAACAGACTCCTGTAGTCAACGATACTGGAACTCTGGCCGAGTCATCTGACATGGTGGCTGTAACTAAGGCGAAGGGCGGAAATGTTGCTGAAAAAACCCCCTCTAGAATTGCGCCCCTCAAATCCGAGAAACTAAATTCGGAACAGACTCCGGTTAGCAAAGGAAATACAACTCCAATGTTGAAGAAGAAAACGCCGCTCACTGCTGGGGCCAAGAAATGTTTCGCAACGGTAAGTGGGGGTATTTTGAACATATTTTGGTTTTAATAACAATATTTATGAATACTCGTACAGTACAACCTCGCTTTGCTGTGAATGAAATTAAAATTGTGTGCACTTAGTTTGTATTGTAGAGGCTTATGGTATCATAATTCGTGCCATAGGATGACTTTGATTCCAGAGGTAACATTTCAAATTGTAGTGTCAAGTGTCAGTATATGTTAAAAACATTGAGTTATTATTGTACTATTTTTTACGTTTGAGGTTTTTGTTGAGAACTATAGTTACAAATTTTGGAGGTTTTTGAATTATCAAGGCAGGTTAGAGGGATTCTACTGTATTTTGGTAGTGGCTCAAATCCAGGGATTAAACCATACAGAGGTTGTAGAATTTCACATGTTGGGATATGTTAAGTGTATATTGAACAGTCCTAGGCAATTTTGTTGATGTATGATTATGCAATTTGGATTTTGAAAACTATTATTAATCTCATAATTTGGTTGGCACATTTAGCTTGATTGTTGAGTTTCATCATTTAATCAACACATTTGGTTGTCGCTTGGCATGCAGTTTATTTTTCATTCATTTACCACTTGTATTTTCTTCAAAAAATCTTCTTTTTTTCACACCATTGGCATTTCAAAGTCGTTTTTTTAAGAGACCGGTAGAAAACGGTGTCTTTTACTATACAGTAGAGTCCCGCAAACTCGGCGTAATGTGGACTGGAAGGGTGCCGAGTTTCTGAAATGCCGGGTTATCGGGAACTAGGGTTAAAAATAAGAACAATACAATTTTTAAGCTAATTAACTACCTCTTTTATTTTTATTTATATTACAAGTCAGTATGAAGTCATCAGATATAGTACAACAAATCATTTGTACGAGCTGAGAATGATTTGACTTGAGCTGGCTTGAGTCCATGTTCAACTCAGACTCAAAAAATCACTAATTTTCTGAGCCAGGTGATGGCCGAGTTATCCAGACTGCCGGGTTATCGAGTGCCGAGTTTGCGGGACTCTACTGTATTGTAAAAATCAAGATTTTATAATTATTCAGAGAAATACTTAGTTAATAGCTTCAACATCTCTTAATTTTTGGACATATGTGTTTGTGTAAAACCAAAGCAAAAAGGAAAATTCTAGTAAAAAGATGTAAATGTGAGAGTGGGCGAGTACTTTGAGTGTCACAAGTTTTACAGCAAAGTCGTAAAATTTAAAGTCGGGTTATAGGCTAGGAGCTCATAAAAGTTTTATCAGATGTATGTTAACGACTTCCTTAATTTATTACTAGGGCAATGATGCAATCCAAACCCATTTAACATTTTATCATGGTAATACAAATTTTACTATGGCTATCAAATTTATGTTGATTTTAATTTTTACTTCAGACTGTACAGCATCGGGGACAATCAATTTACTGCCTCCTGTGTTAAAACCTATAATCAATCTGCAGTTATTATCATACCTCAAAACAAGTTTTCAATTATATCTTACACTTCAATTGTCACACTAATGTAGGCTGCATGAAAATAATTATTGTTGGCATAGTTTCACATGTAAAATCTGTTTAGAATATGGTGCCAAAAAGTTAGTGAACTGTTACAATAATTTCATAAAAACTTGACTAATGAAAAATGTATGAACTCACAATCCTCCAGTCGCAGGCGTCTCTTCTGTCAGCAAAACTTGGTTGTTTCTCAGGCGTTTAATGGGATCCTGATGATTTTTGGAATGATGGAAGTGATTCTTAGTAAACTAAGTTGATTTTTCTTTAAGGAAAGCTAGTTTTTTGAATTTTCGGCAACGTGTCCGTCGTATATTCTGTGATCCACCAAGGTTTAATTGTATGTGGGAGGAGAGGGTTTGTTTCATACAACATTCAATGCCCTGGCAGATCTCTCTGTATCTCTTGTAAGCTTTTGCCAAATCTCATAGATTTTTGGTCAGTTCCTGATTTTTCAGCTTGCAACTTTTGTATTAATGTTGGTTTGTTAGTTTTTTTTTGAGAATTCTTCTTCCTTGAGTTTTATTTTTTGTTTTAAGACCTCTATCGCTAATGCTAGCACGCCTTATCCTGAAATTAATTAGATTTACTTGCTTCAATTTTTTATTTCAAGTTTTTGATTGAAAACGTTCCTTTTTTGTTAACCTTTTTGGGGGTTCCGAGAGCGGTTTTTTATATTGTCCCTATATTGTTTAATATCACCATCTTGGCCCACATAGGTTGTATTCTTGTGTTTGTTTACTATTTTGTTCTTGTTTTATTTTTACGAAAAACAATGATTGAACCAAATTTTTCGGATTAAAACAAACTAGAGGTCGTCAAGTCGTCGAAAGCTAGACCAAAAATAATGTAATGTACAGATTTCTCTATTTTCACCCCAAGCTGTAAATAAAGCACGTGATTGGAATTTCTTCCATTTGTTTTAATTTTCTGTTTATATTTAGTTGTTATTTCGTCACCAGAATAGCAACCCGTGAGGCTCATGTTAATTTTTTTCAAATTTTGAATTAATTTTTTGTGTTTATTTTTGAGACTATTTTAATTTATAAAGAGATTCTGCATACCTACAAGAAAATATCTCTCTAACAGTAGACGTAGATTTTCCCTGCGATAAACACGAGCCGAGAAAAACGGTTTTAAAGAAACATGCTTGCCTATTAATATATAGATAATAATCTGTGTGTTGGTAATATAGTTGGTAATAGTGTATCTTTTTTGGATATGTTTTGTGCTATTTTATTTTATTCAAACATTCTTGTGGTTTATATTGACATATAACATTGTGATTGATGGCACTATTTTAATTTATTCTATTGCTTAGTTGAAATTAAGGAGAAATGCAAGTTTTTATTTAAAAAATAACTTTTTTTAACTGAGATTAATTCCAGGAAATGTTTCTCTTATCTACAATTTTCCACTGAATTTCTCTTAATCTAAGTTTTTCTATATGTGCTCTTTTGTTTGCCTTGTTCTCTTTATTTTGGTTTCACACCCTTCTTGTCAATTTACTAACACGTTCACTGCGCATGACAAGTAATCTCGTCACCGCTAGCGCTTTCCAGTGGCGCGCGACGAGTATACTCGTCAAAGCGCCGTTTACAAACTATCGTTCCAGTGTGAGGTTTGAGGTTAGCCACTGCCGTGAGGCTTTGTTTCGCTTGCCGCTTGTTGTGCCGGTTTTACACTTCAATCTGGTTTGTTTTCAGATCCGACTTTTTTTATCGGTGGTAGGGATTGTTAAAAAAATATTGTAGTCTGGGGTTTAGGCTTGGATCTAATGACATGCAATAGAATGACGATAATGAATGTATGTAGCATTGTGGAAGGAACCTAACCTCAAAATTGTGCTTGACCACTTTTTTCCGGTATATTTTGATAATGTATTCGGGTACTTCACCCCTGCTTTTTCCCCCCATTTCACAATACTAAGGGCCAGCTAGCAGTATTATTTAGTGCTACTGTCTGTTGGGTTCTTAAAAAACTACGTCCACAACAACTGGGATGCAGTATATGCTTCTCATTTGGATGCAACTAAATTTAAATGTAAAAAAAAATTTTACGCAGCGCATTAGCTGTTCACGCCACCGGCCATTGTGCGTGTGCAGCCACATTGAACGTGTTAACCAGTCGTAGCTATTTCTATGAGTTATTTTCAACTCTTTCTATCTTAATATCTTCCTTCCTTCTTTTCTTCTATGAGTAACCTCTTTCATTTTAACAAATCTTCTAAACTTTCTAAGCAATTATTTATATCCTCACAAATAATTCTTAAGCGATTCTCTCAGTAATTTCTTCAAAGAATAAAACAAATACTTCTCTCCCAGGACAATATCTGCGTCAAATGCAATTCCCGAACTACTGCAGTCAATGAAGCTTCGCTGTGCTCCGTTTGTGCAAAGGTCGATGACAAACCAGAAGTGCATGTAAGTTTTCCAATTGTTTGCATTTTGTATTTTTTTTACCAAGCATATGTTACGAATGATTCATTACTTTATCAGTTTGAGTGTAGTAGTGTTTTTAGTAGCACATTTTATTTTACTTCACTGGTCGACTGTCGCTGAACATTATAGTCAAACTCTAGTTGATGACAGTTGTTGTGAATGTCTGAGGCAGTTAAATGACCGTGTTTATAAGTTTGTTGAAATAATTTCGCCTTTTAGATAGTTTAGTTTTGTGTAAAAGTAATAACTTGTGTGATTTTGATTGTGTTTTGGTGATGGTCATGTTTTCTGATCGGTGATAGAAACTAAACCTCCTTATTTAGGTGGCAATTAAGTTTTCTTATCAAATCAGAATTTCCAAATAATCTTTTTACAATTTTCCTAAAGGTAAACAATTCATAGTTGTTATTTCAGTACTTCATAAATAATCTTACTATTCTGTCTCAAAATTTTGAAATGAAAGTAAGGACTTGGAATATGCATCTTGAACATAACTTTATCCAGTGTTGATATTGTGAGTATAAGTCATTAACAAGGCTTTTTCACAAGGCAAATTTAATTTCAAACCTTGCTCCTTGCATGTGTTTTTGCTCCTTGATTGATTGATTGATTAAGGCATTGTAGAACCTTGCTTCTAAAAAATGTCTATACCGTTCAAATAAAAACTACATTAATTAATAATCACTCGGATTTGAAGAGTAAAATGGTCACTCAAAAAAGGTTAAAGAGGTACCTTGACCTAATTTTTTGACCAAAGTTACTGAATGTAGTTGAGATGTACAGTTGTAAAGCTGCAAAGGTTTTTTTAATGGTGTTCAGGAGGGGAAACAGTGTAGCGGATGTGGTACTACTATTACCATGACGTGGATGACCAATGCGGTTGGCGACAATGTCTGTAGCTCGTGCGGCTACGCCGAGCTCGTAAGTCCTGCGCTCACTTTCCCCACTTACCTACTGTGCTCGGCCGCTTGGCGCTTACACTGCCATTCCTCTGATAACCCTTATTGTTAATTATAATTTACTTTTATTAACCAAATCCTTTTCTGCATATAATATTATTTTTACTTGTAGTGGTAACATTTTAAAACTTTTTGGTTGGCCAACCTGAGTTTAGAATACTGCAGAGTGTTAGATGAATTTTAAACTCCAAAATCCAGTTCCAATATTCAAGTCTTATATTTTTACAGTACAGTAGCTAAGATATCCTAGATTAGTTTTGAACTCCATTTATAGTACAAAAATTATCAGACTGAGGACTGTGTTTAATTTTTGTGCCAAACATCTCTTATTTAATTATTTAGTGATATAATTAAAATAGCAGTTTTAAAGTCAGTTGAAATGTAAAATTCTTATGACCATTTTTTTACAAAATTCCTTTCATTAATAAAAATTACTGCATCATGTCTTGACCATTTTGTTTTAAATTTCTAGTGTAAAAAACTCATATATCAACCCTATAACTGTTCATTTAGTTTACTGTTTAAAACATTTATGACAATCCAATTATTAGTGATTTATTTAAAGCTTGTAAAACTGTTTTGAAATTGAATTGAACCTCAAAACTTGGGACCATGAACTCATAAACAATTTATGGATAATACGATTTTAAATACATTTTGATTTGATATTGGACTGCGTGGAACTAATTTTTTTTGTACTTAATGATAGTTATGATGATTCCATCGATGTCGAAAGTATGTTCAACCAAGTAACGGGAGTGTAGCTTCTTTCACTAGCATATGTTTCACCGCATTGTAGGCTTATTTGCATGATACTTTGTTTGGTGTATTATTGTTGTATGTAGCCTATAAGTCAATGCACGCTTTTTCACCTTTGAATATGCATGGGTAATCTCACACTAAGCTGTTATGTGTTTGAATGTTCGAGTAACACATCTGAATAAAAGAATTATCTGGACATAAAACAAAACTGGCTGTGTGTAGCACAAGATTTTTATGTCTCTATCTCATTAAAATTGTTTATATCATTGCCTCATATCAGTCTTGAGGACTCAGTGCCATTACAACATTTACTTTGAAACTTTTCAATAAATTAACAATTATTTTGCATTAGTTTGATCTATTACGTAAGTGCATTTTTAGAAACGTTTCTCATAATGTTTGTCAGTCGAATATAAAAAAAAACTTTAGAAAAGTATATTTAATAAAAGAGAATATTTAATTTTCAAAATAATTGAATTTCATGAAACATTAGGTATTTTACTAACACAATGTCATCTATTGCCGAGGGCGGTTCATGGTTTAGTTTTAACTGTCATTGTATAGGAAGTACAATTTAAGGTGTTAATGTTTATTGAAGTATGTAGTGATTTAGGCAGCCCTCTTGTACTATTCATAGTCTTTGCCATTTTTTATACTCTTGGTCTGCAACTTTGCTTACCTAAGTCAGCTTTACTTGTATGACTGGGACTAAGTCAAAATTCCAATTAGGCCTACAGTGTAAAGAATTAAAAGTTTTTGGAAAACAATAGAAAATAGCCTATTATTTTCCCTGTCAGTGCTTTAAATCAGAATGCAGAATGGAGTTCATGGCCGATTTTTTAACTTTATTATCTTCCAAGTTATTTAGTCATAACTGGGTTATACTGATTTTATGACTTTATCAGTGTTTGATGTTGTGTTGTTTTTGGGGTTTTTATCTTCACTGTCTATTATCTTTGCCTGGGCCGGGATTAAACTAGGATTGTACTAAAAATAATGATCTGACTCATGCTTTTACATGTAAAGTTGTAATGTTGTACCTTGTTAGATGAAAATGTTGGCCATGACATTTATCTTTAGCTTACCATAACAGAAAATTAATGTTCTAGAATGATTAATTTAACATTTAATTTGTTACATTGTTTCAGTATAAGATTGATGAGAAAATCGGTGACCCCAACTCTACAGTAAGGGGAGTTGTGACAGTACAACGTAAACGGCTGACAATGGGCGAAGGAGACCAGCTTGAAGAGGTGACGGATCCACTAGCTATTCCTGAGAACAATGTTGCGGAGAAAGACAGCAGCCAACCAGAGGTGGAGCAGACGACGGAAACTTGCGTGGCAGGACCTGGCATGACGGAAACTGGCGTGACAGAAACTGCGTCAGAAACTAATGTGGAAACTGGGCTAAACGAGTCCCCACCAAAGTTTGTGATCCAAAAAAGCCAAAACATTGACCCACTCAAGCCCACAAAGAAAACAATTGTTGACAACCTACAGAAGAAACTGTGCTTTACTGTGGTTGAAGCTTTGAAAAATCAGTTAACGCCTGAGGAAATTGCGGCTATAGAAGCAGACAAGGAGGTGGACTCATCTCCAGAGAAAGTTACTGAGATTCCGCAACAAGAACAGCTGACACAGCAGACATCGGTGGTGTTGCATGATCTCAAGAATGACAAAGAGGTTATGGACAAGCTACGCGAGACTGAAGCTAAGAAAGACACAAGTAAAACTGATGAATCCCACTCGATAATAGAAGGCGGTAGTGAGGCAGACACTGATGTGAGCAGTTGTGGTGATTCAGACATAGTCACTGATGGCAAAAAGGGGAAAAAGAATTTAAACAAAGTTGTTCAAAATTTGAAGGAGAGAAAAAGTAGTGTGGATGAAAGAAGCGATCAGAGCAAGAAAGCAAAAGAATCTAATGCAGTCATGTTAGACGATTCTATAGAAGAATCACCTGTTTTGATCATTGACGAAGGCGAGTCGAGCGACAGTAAAAAATCCACAAAAAGTGATAAGAACAGACGTAAAGGAATTCCGGCTAAAGTGCACAGTAGATCTAGTACTTCAACAGAGTCTGAGGATAATCGGCCATCCAAGAGAAGAGCAGAGGTGCTGGATGAGGCGAGCGGGCATTTCCGACGCTTGTCTAGTGACAAAGACCGTCCTGTGACAATCACGGTGGTGACGGAAGGTGACTCGTCACAGAAGAAAGCTAAGGAGATCAGAAGTGTGAATATCTCCAAGAGCCTCAGCCTGAGTGTCATCAAGGACTCGGCAGCCGCTGCTGTAGAGAAGTCTGCTGAGACTGATTCAGACGACTTGATGATTGTAGACACTGTGACCAAGTTCCCACTGAGACCCACGGCTCGCAAGACACTACCCAACCCTCCTCGGCTGGCGAGTGTGATCAGTAGACCTGCGTCAGGTGAGAAATGTTTACATTTAAAAGCTTAAATTATACTTCGAATAAATTAAATACTTGGCTTTAACTATTAATTCTGGCTCCAGCTAGCTTTATTCTTTGTGCTGCAGGTATGACCAAGTAGATAGCAATACTCCTAGTAGTTGGATGTGCCTTATACACACGGAACACTACTAGAATAATTTTAATTTTGTATTTTTAGTTATGTGTCTATTTGATGATTTTCAAGTGAACTGACCCAACCTTCACTATCTTTCCTCCATGGCTCTAATCAACTAGCCGACTTGTCAACCCACCAAAATCTTTCTTCCGTGTTGTTAAATGACAGGCTTTTACACATAGTATTATTTATCGGTGATGTTGTAACGGGAATTTAAGTATATTAAGTAGGAGTTATTAATTAGTTAATTATTTCCACATTACAAAATAAATTATAGTTCCTTCGGATGAACTCACAGAGAAGGTTCGCGTTCGACCCTTATAGTTATACTAAATTTTACCTGGTAGCAAGGAAATATCAGGTGTTGAAAATATTAACCACATCTAGTTATCAATCAATATTTATTGTATGACAATTAAACCTGTGGCAATACACTCATTGAAATGTTTAACAAGATTTAATCACAGTTTGTCATGTACAGTAAATCATACTTCCCACGGTCAATTAATAGGTTCGAAATTGAGTGCTTTTTTTCTCCCGTCAAATCTACACATACACACTTCACTCAAATGGTGGACGAACCGTAGCACTTGTAATGCGATATTTCAAGTTAACAGGTACCGGTACATAATAAATCAAATCAAATCAAATCAATTTATTGTTGTAGACATTTCACAATGCATTAACAATCGTCACAAAATACATAATGCTGTTATTAAATACAGCAAATGAATACTTACATGTAATCAATCAATATAATAAGACAGTACAATAAAAAATTATATATATTGGGTAATGAGACAGATGCCCCTCCCGATATTCTAAACAAACATAATCACAAATTGCGTCGCATGAGGCAAGTGCCCCTTACGACATGATACATGAATTAATTTGAAGGCGGGGATATAATTAACAAGAATATATTTTCGACAAGTGAGACATGTGCCTCCCCCGGATTAACACGTACAAAGCACCATCAGACCACCACACTTCATAAAACAAAATACAGATAAAAATAGCTCAAACTTACGATCAAACGCCTATTAAGTTTGTTAAGACAGTTGTGCTTAAACGTACGGTGATATCGCCATGCGAGATATGTACCCCACACAGAATATTACGCGTAACGTAACAGATTATCTACACACTTTGTAAGACTTTTAAAATACAGATAGATATAGGATCAAAATTTAAAATGGGACTTTATATTGGAGAATTAAAGATAAAATAACACTCTCTGAAAATATGTCGCCATGCGAGATATGTACCCACACGGAATATTACACTCAACATAACAGATTATCTACACATTTCGTAAGACTTTAAAATACAAATATAGGATCACAAATTAAAAGAGGACTTTGAATTGGAGAATAAACCATAAAATAACACTCTCTTAAACTAAAATCATACTTAATCTTCCCTTAAGCTACAGAACAACAAAATGAAACTCTCTGAAATAAAATTCTACAGATTTTTAACTTCTCGTAAACAACCTACCAGAATGACGAATTACGAGGAATTTATATAGCTTTCTATATCATAAGCAAACTGACAAGTCAACTGCCTCCGTTCGATTGTCCGGCGTAAATATTGTTTTAAATGAATTTAGCGTCTCGAGGTAAGAGACATGTGCCCCGTACCTAGAGTTAAAACAACCTCCCAATGACTAAATTGTTCATCACTGCACTATCCTCACTATATACATATTTTGCTGAAAATAGAATCATGACAATCTAATTTTTTTCATTTTTAACAATTTAGTTTCCGTGAAAGAGAATCTAAATAAATTTGTTCCTTGCAACTCAATCCATGGGTATATCACCAGACAATCAAAAGATTCATATATTCCTCAAGCCAGGCTAACAAAATTTATAAATATTTGCAAATAAAACTATTTAATAAACTTCCAATATATTGTAGAAATCAGGAAAGTATTCATTTCTATAGGTCAAAATTATCAGATTGGATTACAAGTCGTGCTTTTTATTCAGTCGAGGAGTTTTTGCAGAATGTAGATTTCTCAACTCTTAAATGTGAGACCAAGCAGTCTTGATGATTCTTTGTTCTTGTTATGGTCTTTTCCCTGTTAATTTTAAAGTTTTTTATTATTACTGATGCTTTATCCTTTTAAGATTCATTTAACTTTATTTTAACATTTTCTGTAGCCTATTTAATATTTTATATAAGATTATATAAGATATGTAACAAAACATGTTGACCTTGTCTTTTGTAATTTTTATATTACTAAATGACGATAAAGATTTATTATTATTATTATTACACTCGTCAAAAGACAAAACTTTTTCATCCGTTACATCCGTATAACCTGGCGGTACGATACTGACTGCCCCTGGTCTTAGAGATTGTCCTCCACCAGGAGTGGGGTGGGAGGGATAGTGATATAACGGTGGCGCTTGCTGGACCCTACGAAGGATCTAGGCTTTAGTTATCTTCCACAGGAAATTTGAAATTATCTGTCACAATGTTTTATGGTCTTTTATTTTTGTCTGGTGATATTCAAGACTTGTCAGATACAGTGAAAACAAACATACTCTACTCTCAGTCGTCCTGAAAAACCAAGTACGACATTTCGAGGAACCCGAAAAACAAGTAGAGCTAATGAGTCCGACCTGCTTACAGGACAAAAGTAACTATTTCAGCACTCTGTATAGAAATATTTGATGACAGCTGATATTAAATAATATAATTGTTCCCTAAGCTCCAATACAGACAAGTGAAAAACCATCAGCTCATTTTCCCTACCTCTAATTCTGTTTTCCCTTGCTCTCAATCAGTTTCCGTATTCGTCCACTACATTTACTTGTGCGCATGAACTTGACCACTGATAAAAAAATCATTTAAATCAGCTGTATTTCCTGTTAAACAATGTAAATGTATACAAAAATAATCATTTGTCTTGTCAAGAAAAGTAATAATGTTAATAACTTGTAACAAAAGTGAATTTCTGACACTTGCTCCAATTAATCTTGTCCTGGGTTTTGCCTCACACATTAAACTTGATCATGCACTGGGAAATTTAACTTATTTATTATTTGGTGTGAAAAAATTATACAGTATTCCAACTCTTAAGAGGCATGGTGTTTTTAGGGTTCTACACAATGTTTGAGCTGGGTTTTCGGTATGATTGTGTGGAATTTGTGTATATTATCTGACATGGTGTGGATCATAAGATAAAAAGAGGTTAGTGAAGTTCATAAATTATTACCAATGGGTTGCCGGAATTTTATCCCCCTGGAATTTTACCCCCTGGGCAAAGCTGACGTCACTATGACGTAGGAACCTGAGTGGCCAAACGTTTATTCGCGGCCGGAATTTTACCCCCGCGGATTTGGAAGACTAATGAAAATAGCCAGAGCGTGATTAATTAGATTAGCGATAAAAAGCGGAATTTTACCCCCTATCCATATAACTAGCGTTTAGACAACTAAAGATGTACGGGCCGGATTTTTACCCCCGGATTTTTACCCCCCGGATTTTTACCCCCGGATTTTTACCCCCCGGAATTTTACCCCCTGGCCGATTTTAGAAATTTAATGATTGATTTTCTTATTTCTGTTTTTAATTAATTGTAAACATTTCATTATTTAGTAGCCAATCTTTAGTTATTTATTTTGTAATGAAATGTTCGAAACAATTATCATTAAGTTGATTGTTTATACGTCATATTAACCAACTGTTGGCTTCGAAAATCGAATCCTAATACTAGAATCTCAAAATTAAAATATAAAACTTGTTCGATTGATTAATGTTACAAATAAATTAATATACAGTAAGCTACTTAATAATAAAATGTTTACTATAAAATTAAAACAGAATGAAGATAATTAATCATTCTCACTAATTTATATATCTGGCCAGGGGATAAAATTCCGGGGGTAAAAATCCGGGGGGTAAAATTCCGGGGGTAAAAATCTGGGGTAAAATTCCGGGGGTAAAATTCCGGGGGTAAAAATCCGGGTCGTACACTCTAGGTTTTTATAATTTGATGTGTTCTGATTAAATTCACAACCGTGAAAAATATATGTTTAATTCAGCGTTTAATCCATCGAGCTGATGTCGCGAAACTCAAAAGTTCGCGGCCGGAATTTTACCCCCTGGTTTGTGACGTCATGTTTGCCCAGGGGGTAAAATTCCAGGGGGATAAAAATCCGCTACCCCTTACCAATCTTACATTCATGTTAAATAATGCATCAGCTGTATTACCATTTTAGTAAAAGCTTTGAATAAATATTAAAGCCAGTTTAAACGCAAAGTACCTACCACATTTAGTATGGTTTCATGTCATAATTTACTTTTTAAAACTGTGTTTTTTGTGATAACCAGATAAATGTTGTGCATTTTTATTTCACTATTGATAGTTTATTTGGTTTGTCTCTTCACAGTTCCCCCGCCTGTAGTCACCCAGCCCCCGCCGTTAGTGAGTCTGAAGCAGAAGAAACCTGTGGTAATCCCTGTCCCCGCAGCTACCCCTCGGGGGACTGTGAAACCTTCCCCCCGTGCTGAGGTGGGGCCTGCACACGCAAAACTAGAAGAGGTCGTTCAGAAGGTAAAGATAATTTGTGTCAGGAAATCCAAATCATTATGAATTCCTCAATTTCTACAGTAAAGATTGTTATTGTCTCTAATAATAATAACATTGACCTTTGGATACTAGAGTAGACATCTTATCTACATTGACCTTTGGATACTAGAGTAGACATCCCATCTACATTGACCTTTGGATACTTAGAGTAGACATCCCATCTACCTGTGTAGCCGTATTTCATTCAAATTGAACACAGTTATAAGCCACTCTAAGGATGAATATGTCAAAATTTAACTAGACATCACTTTAATTTTTTTAATTAAAATTGCTTTAAATTTATGATAGCCTTACAATATTTTTCATAAGGCAATTCTTTCTATGTTTAAAAAGTCTGAGTACAAAACTGTCTACACATTTAACATGATATGCCTTATAAGGCATATTTAGTTTAAAAACCCTAAAATAAATAGCTTATTTTAAAAAGATAAAAATTTAATTCTAGTATAGAATGCTTTAGCCAAACAAATCTGTTTTAAAAGATGTCATTTAAAAGATATTGTGAAGATAAATAATAAGTTTCTAAGTGATTTTGTATGCATTTATTGAGGAGTGTTCTCAAGCAAACTTCCCAACTATCGAGTTTAAGAGCATGAGTTGTGTTGTGTGTACAGGTTGTCACCTTCGTGAGGACCACATTTGAAGAGATGCTGAAGGCTTCAGACCCAAACTCTGATGCTCTAGAGGCGATGAAACAATCTCAACAACTGGAGATTGAGAAACTTAGGTGGCAGCACAAGCAGGAGATCAACGAGCTCAAACACAACACAGGTCAGTGTCAACATTGCTGCCAACTTATGACGAAATTTTGGGGTGAGAGACAAAATTTGATTTTAGAATATGTAATAGTCGTCTCACCTGAAATTAGGTCACACCTTAGATTTGTCCAGATAGCCTAGCCTACAATGAGATAGTTTAGGACTCTAACGTGTTGGTTAATTAATTATCGTTTCGATTTTATTGGCTCAGAATATTAATTACAACAATAATACGTTTAACAAGTGCTCATCATAGCCACTCGAAAAATATGTGAAGCTAAATTTAGAATTTTGAATAAACTATCGTGAATGTGGATAAGCCTAATTATTTGGTAACTTAACCTAAACGTGTCGGGAAAATTAGACTCGGTCGAACACCAGAGTCGATACGGGTTTTCTTAAATCAAATTTACGTAAGACGGTTCGGGGTAACGGAATAAGTTGTACGTAAACCGTTCTGGCAACGTAAATGATTTCCGAAGCTGGTTTAAGACAAAAGGAAGTGTGCTCGTACGTGAAAAAGCGTGCAGGGTGCGCGCAACTACGGCACGGTAAAATAAAAATAGTAACACTTCTCTAAAAATAAGATTAAACAAAATAAATTCGGTAGCACACTAACCTGATGCCTTAGGATTCTACCAGGAACGGGGTAAATCTTTCATTGACCAGAATTTCGTAAGTTAGGACTGTTGGATTTGTCTCTAAACAGCTACCGTATTGACGGTTCGGTAGCGGGTGGACAACTGACTATGAGGTTTGCTCTTCTGGTCGTTCTTCGCCATCGCCCCTGGCGGCGGGGTAGGTAACTAGCGTCCTCCCCTCTACGATGACGTAGGACCCCTGCCCCAACGATGCCGCTGAGAACGCGGGCACAGCTTACCCCGAACGTAGAAAATTATAATATCTTATTTAAGATTATAATATTATAATTTTCTACGTTCGGGGTAAGCCGCGCCCGCGTTCTCAGCGGCATCGTAGGGGCAGGAGTCCTACGTCATCGTAGAGGGGAGGACGCCACTACTAGTGTAATAGTGTACAGATGATGGTGAAAATATATAGGTACCCTAGTGTAAAGCGCAAATATGTTTCTCTAAGTTTGTAACAACCCAAAACCCGTCAAGGAATAAAAACCCGATTTTAAAAGTTTCATTTTAAAAATTTTTTTAAAAAAAGTTAAATTTTAAAATGAAACTTTTAAAATCGGGTCTTTACTCCTTGACGGGTTTTGGGTCGTTACAAACTTAGAGAAACATATTTGCACTTTACACTAAGGTACCTATATATTTTCACCATCATCTCTACACTATTACACTGAGTTAAATTTCACTGATTTGCTTATTGGTACAATCCCTTTCAGCTACTCTAAAAACCTCTAAACAATATCAGCTCGTCTTAAATTTCTGACTTAGTGTTTGATCCCATAACCGGGCTCCTTGCACACTTCCAATATAAAGCAATCAGGTTTTAAGGGGATTAAAAGTATAAGTCTTCAGACATTACTGAAATGAGAAGTAACTATTATTTAAAATGCATGTGTTGTTTAAGGAAATGCTCTCAGCCAGGATTTTAATTTGTAGAATGAAGAGATAGCTGCTAGCTTACTTTAAAAAAGTACAGGCAGGCCATAGAACACACTGAAGACTGTAGTTTATAGCCTAACTGTCCTTCTAAGGTAAACTAGCTGCTATCCTTCATTATACAAATCAAAATTGCATGTGGTCTATTGTACCCTTATTACCTTATTACAGTTTAATGTATACTCGACATTACCTGTAATTATATGACTGTTCCTTAATATTAAGGTTAACCATCATGGTAAGAAATATAACAAAAGAGATTTTTAACTTCATGTTTTGCTCATAGTTGCTGCAACATAGTACCAATATGCTATTAATTACCAAAATGAGTTTTAATTTATAAACTAAGGGAATACATACTTTTCAGATCTCGTTGTGATGGAGATGCGATCCAACATGGAGGCAGACAAACAGCGATCCCTCATTGATCTCAAACACAAGATGGAGATTGAGAAGGAACACGCTGTGGTGGAGACTAAACGCAAACAGTGGTGTTCGACTTGTCAGAAAGAGGCGCAACTGTATTGCTGTTGGAACACGGCATACTGTAGCTACGATTGTCAGGTACCAGCGAATGTTGTGATACGGTGGATAACCTCAGTTTACTTTAGTTTCACCAACATCGTGTGGAAACACACTTGTGTGAAGGTAGAGGATGCTGAGTAAGAAGGGATTACGAGTACGACGAAAAAGTCGTTGTCTTGGAGACTTTTTACAGTTTGTATCTAACTAGTAAGACTTCTGTAGTCAACAATACAAACACTTCAATCTAGGTCTTCTGTCTACAACTGCATTACAGACGGAAACTTAGTAAGAGCTAAATTTGTAGTCTCGCTGCAGCCATCATCAGGGCACATCACCAGAACATGTATCCAATGTAGTAATGTCAGAGGAATAAGTTTCTATGCGTAACATGGTCGTTCTGAGAAGATATAGTCTGTAGTGATAGTGTTTGTATATAAAATAACCAAATTCAAGTTGTGAACTTACACAAACCGTCCGCTGTTTTGGCCAAAATTAAGGAAAAGTCCAAACTTGTTTGTCAAACCCCGTTTATTGGGGTTTTGGTTTTCCAGTGAGATAGCACTGTTTTTTACCATTTTGTAGACATACACTGTAGATGTTGAGAAAATATAGTTCAGTATTATACAATATTTTGATTGTTAGAGTATGGATTCTGTTCTTTGTTGCTGTTTTGGATTTTGTTACGATTGTTAATAGAAATCTGTATTTTGGTGTTGGGAACAAGGGTTTAATGTTAATGCGCAGTACAGTTTGACAATAGCTAATTGGTGGCGAGTGTTAATAAGAATCTTGTAGTGTATTTGAGTGCATGGTGAGCCGGTGAGCGCAAAAGTAGGAGTCACAAAATTATTTTGGACGCAAAATTAATATAATTAAAAACGTTGGTTAAATGTTAGGCTTGCACAGTAAAGAAGTGAAAAGTGTTTACATGCAAAAGTTGAATTTATTTCTGGTAACGTCATTATCAAGAAGACATCAAACACAAGGATATTGTAAGTATTAAATGATGATTTCTAGTAGATTTCTGTTTATGTGATGTTGCAATTGGGCTGCTTATTTATATTTTTCCTGCATTTTAACCTTTGTTTAAGGAATTGGATATTCTGATTAAATAACTTAATTTAGGTACTTTTGATGAAACAAAATAAAGAGGATATGAGCTAGCTTACCTTAAAAGCAGTACAGATAGGCCATAGAGCACACAGAAGCCACATAAAACATACAATATTCCGTCCCCTGGAAAACTTTGTCAAGTTTAGAGAAAGAGAAAAAGAGTCCACAAAATGTTTGCACGAAATTTTTGCTGTCAACAACTATGACTATTTCTCTGCACTTCACAAAGTCTTCCAGGGACAAAATATTGTACGTTTAAAATGTTTCCTTTGTGACCTATATGTACTTCTCCTAAGGTAAGCTAGCTGCTAACCTTTTTATTTTACAGTTCAAAATCCTGGCCTGTAGTCTTTCCTCGAACAAAACTAACCTTTTAATGATACAGACTATTTTGGTCAAGGCTCTGATTTTGGAGTGCCTGAATAATAATTTTAAGACAATGATAATAAATATTGTGACATAAGGATATAACTCTTGACATTGCTGCTTGTACCAAAGAGTAGACTCAATAATCTAGGAAATCTGGACTTTTACAAAAGAATAAATTAGTGATGTGTCTGTTGCAATTTTCATCGTTCCGTTTTTTATCGGTTGTTGGTTCTCGGTTATCTTTGGTTTTAAATAGGTAAAATTACCTCTCATTTAAGTTATGTTTTGAACTTGTTCACACTAATTATCAATTTATTTGTTTAATGTTTGATTGTTGGTGATGGTAGATTTATATTGTTACAGGGATTATTGCAGGTAAAAACACAGGAGTATTTAGAAAGATTAGTTGATAAAACACTAAATGCATGTCTTATTTGGTTGCTAGTAGAAGAGCAGTATTTACCATGCCTTAGTAATCATAGATTTGGTGTAGTTTCCTTTACCATAATGTCATGATTACTATAATCCATGATCGAGGAGGGGGGGGGGGGGCTCTATCATGGTCATCTCAGCAAGAGGCAATCACGGCGAAGCTAATTTTGAACATACTGCGATGGAAAAACCAGCGAAACAAAACAAGTAACAAGCAAAACAAGTGTTTTGTGTAATCCCTATTTACCATTGACCATCACATTACACTAAGTACATTAAAGGGTCAAAACACTCTAATCATCATGATTAATTGAATAGTTTATTATTCAAATTAATATATGGTAAATAATAAATTCCAAATCACATAGTGAGGGGCTAGAAAGGTTACAGTGCTTATGTTCCACGATGTCACTGATAAGTCTACAAATCTTACTTGCTAATCATTTATAAAGCGAGCTATCACTACCACTCAAACCCTGGGCGTGTGTTTCACTGGTTATATGTCAGTCCAGTTCTTGCACTTCTTTTAGCTGCTGTCTGTTTGAGTTTATTTGTCTCTTTGTTTGTGTCTGATTTCAGCAGTTATTCTACAGTGTTTCATGTAGGGTGTTTTTTTTTATTCATGTGATTGTTTCAAATGTAATAAAAAACATAAACAATATCTTAGAGTTATAACAATAGACTCATGGGTACACAAATGTTATGCCATTATTGATTTAAAATTGTTTTGGACACAACGGCGCCATGCTGTGGCTTGAATTAAGCAAAATCTGGAGGTTTAATTTGCAACCCCTTGGAGTTACGTGCACTAACAAATCTAGAGTTATGTGTTATCTGCTGGTGTTGTATGATGTTTATAGGAAAGAGCTTTATTTCAGTTAGCAACATGCCACACAGCACTGGTTGCCATCAGTTTATTAATTAATTTATTTTCAACAAAATTGTGGATTACATCATGTCACAAAACGTACCTGAGAAGGTAGAGGAAGCCTTTTAACTGCCATGCTTCTTACAACAATTTATCATTGTTTTCATTTACCAACAATTTATAATTTACTATATGCTGAGACATTTAAAGTTCATAAATCAAAGGAGTTAAATGGCCAGCCGCTGAACAAATCATTCAAAAGTCTAATTTTCAAACTGCGCATCTATTCTACATGGCTCTTATTAGCCCAAAATTATTCCTAAGGCTGGTACTGTATTACACTATAATAGTTCTATCTCTATGACATGTATTATCACATGTCTTTGATGAAAAGTAATACAGTGTAATGGACCAACTATTATATTAGCTAAACTATGGTCATATGTCTATGTAATTTGTTCTCCTAGAGAGAACATATTATCATATATTAGATAATGGATATATTTCATAGAACTATGATAGTGTAATACCAGCCTACACAAAAATAGTATACAATTGGTATTCCAGCAAGGCTATTTACTAGGTTTTGACATTATATTACTTGTTTTATGTAATATTATAAAACGTACTAATAAAAATGTACCTTTATTATAATCATATAATACAAAGATTTCATTTATTTATTGTCTGAACATTTACCACAATGGGAATGAATATATTTGGATTAAGAAAGTACCAATAACAACTAGAATGAACTAACCAAACCACCGCAGCTTGTATGAGTAGGCACACAACTAATTTAAGTAAATGTACTGTAAAGTCTAACAATAACCGTTGAAAGCTTGGGTAACACCATATTTGCGCTCTTCTAGTTTGTCGAGGTCAGACAACTTGTTAATTTAGTTAACCTGTTTTGTAAATATTTTATCATTCTGAAATTTTTCTGTTACAGCAAGAACACTGGATCCCGCACATGAAAGAATGTCGTAACAAACAACATGACCCAGAGGAGAGGTCAGCCGCGGCCGCGGCTGCGGTCAGTCCGCACCGGCTGAACTTCCATCAAGTAGATCAAGTAGGTTACAATCCTTAACCTCCCGGGATCTGCTTTAACTGTGCATGGAACGGAGTAAACTGTACATGTTAAATGTTCAAAAATACTTCCAAATGCTATAAACCGGTTTTTAATATTCGAGCCAACCGGTTGTTATAAATTTACAGGCAACCGGTTTTTTTTATAAAACCAGATTTTGTAAATTTTAAATAAGTGAAATATTCTCATGTTTTGTGTTTGTTTTTTATATCTGTATCCTTAGTATTTTCTTGTATTCAATAGTAAGACTGATATTTTAACTTTTACGTTTTTAGTAATTGTATCAGTTGAGTATTGTTATTTCACCAGTATGTTCTTTCAGAAAGTTCGATATCTTGAATACAGTCATAATATTTGTCAAGTGTAATTTAAAGTCCGAAGATCTCGTATTTTATTACCAAATATGTTGAACTTGAATGAAATTATTTTTAATAAACGATTTTAAAAACAATCTTGTTTTTTATGCTAAATCCAATGAAACTGCATGGCTATCTCCTTAAAACGCAATATTGAAACATTGGATGTAACATCCTGAGCGTAGTTTTCTAGGCATGTTCTGTTAGTAATTTTGTTCCAAATACATTTGAATCAGTTTGAAATCTAGTACACTTTTTTGCTACGAAAGTGGAACAGTAAACTCTCACTTATTCTGGTTGGTGGCACAAAAGTGACAGTAATCGTCTCTCAGGGCAGAATGTCAGTAGAACCATAGGGACTCCGGCTGATCCGGTAATCAGAGAGCAGGACCTATATTCTAAAGTCCTGGGTTCTAATCCCACCTTTCATCAAATGTTTTTGTAAGTCAGTGATTTTGAGCCCACATTTACTAACTGTAGGTCTATATTTTTTTAGAAACAGAGGTCTGTAAGGTGATGAACTTTGTCCATACAGAAGAATTTCCTTTGCTAAAAGTTTTACAATAATAACAATGAAATTGGATCCTTGATAACCCAAATCTCACGGTAAAGGGAAAAATGAATGTAAACAATATTGTTTGGTTCATGTGTGACATCAATTACCATAAAACCACTGTAAAATTCAACATAGTCTTTTCTGAATATGCATACACACTGACAGTAAAGATATTGCAAATGCTTTCAGTCATTTACCATTTTGTGTTGATTGATTATCTTATAAATCTTCCTCAAACATGCTCTTCTTGTACAATTGTTTTATTATTAGTGGTTCAAACAGAATGTGTAAGGTGTTGATAGAACTTCAATAAACGTTAAATTAATTTAGTGATTTCATTCATTAAGTATCTGGTTATTATTGTCTTTCCATTTCCTATTAATTTAGTAATTTCATTCGTTTAGTATCTGGTTACTATTGTACCTATGTTTTCTAAACTGTTCTGTTTAGTAAAGAATAAGTCTCTGATTTAAACTAGGCATCAATGAGAAATTAACAAGGTGATATTAGATTTAATTGAAATATTTCCTGTACTTTTGTTTAAGAATTGATTTCAATGTGAAAGGTACAAAATTATAAAAATGTATTTATCCTCCACTCCAGATTACTTTCTCGTTATTGTCAAAAGCCAAAAGCCCCATGGATCTCTTAAGAATATGTGAGAGTGTTTATTGTGATACTATAATAAAGTAAAACTATAAATTACAAAATAACTCTTTGGAAAGACTTTTATTTAGTTAATAATGTAATCTTGCACTAACTAATTTATTATTTTTTAACAAATGCATTCTTATTGAAACACTGTAGCAACAATTACCATATGATTTCTTGAATTTTTACAACTCTTACTTGTAGTAGGCGCTGAACTTTCTAAATTTAGTCTTCATATGTTAGTTGTAGTAAAGTAATCTTGACTAAAATTTTAAACATCTAAAATTATGTTACAAAATTTAATTTCCTCTCTTATTTTTGAACTAAATATCAGGAATGTTGAACACTCCAATATCAACAATCTATATCTCTACATTAGTAAATAAGATAAACTAATTATCTCTGCCTGTTTTAACCAGCCATCATGCAGCCAGTTTTCGAACAGGTTAAATCTTAAAAAGACAACAATTTAAACAAATTTTGTGATAAAATAAATAGTGTAGGTTGTGGTTATTTTAAGATTACAGGAAACATTTTTTTAAAGATACAATCACAAACCATATTTCCTTACTTAAATATTTCCTCAGTTGGTCTTCTTTAAAGTTAAGATAGAACACACTTTTACAACCCAGTCAAACGTCTATGTCACATAAGACCTATTGGAAAGATTAAATAAAAAAAGCCAAAAGCTGTTATTTAAAACTAAAAGCCAAAACACTTTCATGCAGACTCCTAATATTCTTCCGAAAAGAATTCAATTCTGATATATATTTTTGTTCAGGGAGGGACATACAAAAAACCTTCTTTTGCGCTTTATTTTATTTTACTTAAAAGTTTTAGTGTTTTAATTAGTTCACAATATTTACATCAGCAAACAAAATAGATAAATGTGTTTGAATATTAGACTGGTTAATTTTACATTATTTTCACAATCAATATATCAGTTGACAGTTAAAGTGTTTTTCAGTGAATACATTTCAGATTGTAAATAAATAAATTTGAATTGCTCTTTTGTTCATTTATCAAGTACAGAAAGTGTGAAAGAAATCTAAAAATTCAAATTTTACCCATGATTCACCATATTTATTATTTAACCATAAAATAACAGTAGTTTTTAGCCTATAATATTTTTATTAATTTAACACTACATTTTTCACTTGATATTTCATTTCTGTTTGTACACTAATCTCATCACGTATTTTGTTTTCACTAACCACCATACACACACACGTAGATGCATGCGCTTGACCCGGTGAAAGACACAACTACGGTGGTGGTGGTAAAGAGGCGCAAGCGTTGTGGAAATTGTGTTGGCTGCATTGCCGAACCTTGTGGAAAGTGTTACCCCTGCAACAACCCGAACGTTCACTCCGTCTGTGTTCAACGAAAGTGTTCAGAACTCAGGCAGCGAAGTCGACAGGTTTGTGTAACTTTATAGTTGGGTACCTTCTGGACCTGTGCTTCAAGGTTGACTTGTTTGTTTCTTACTAATACAATAAGATACTAGTTAAAAACTGTTCCTGTTGATCACTTATAACATTTTGAGATGGGAATTTGAAATAGAGTCCTGCTAGTTCAAACCTGCCATGGATTTATCCAGATTCATTTTTTGATATTTTTTCAGTATAATCACATGAGTAAGACAGTTTTAACTGCAGCAGTTAATGCAGGTGTTAAACCAATGTTTGCCTTAAGAAGCTTATGTTGAGCCAATGTGTTCAAAATCCACTTATTCTTTTACAACTAAAAATAAATTAATTGTAAACTACAGTTGAAATAAGAACTAATTTCCTATTCATAAACAATCCAAACAGTTGTCCTTAACTACATCTTTTTAGATGAAAGCTCTTTTGTGGATACTTTGAGCTACATTTTACTATGGGTGTTCCTTTCCAACATAACCAATTTGAGATGAGGTTAGCCCATAAGTATCCACAAAATGATCTAGCAATAGTCTATGGTCAGGTAACATTCAGTAGGACTCTAGTATGAAATATTCCTCCTGTCTTATTTTTGGGTACATTATTACAGGTGCATTAAAAATGAATAATTTTTCAACACAAGTACCTATGAGTATTGTATAGTTGTGGAAGCCATTTTAAACATAGATTTTTTTTGTATCAGTTTCTTCTGTGTCATATAATGTATGGAGGATATTTAAATGGGGAATTTGAATTTAGTGTATTTGTTGTATTACTGTATTTCTTTATGGTAAGAGATACTACATGCTATACTATTAATTAGTCTTATTACGGTTTGTATAGTTCAAGGTCAGGGTGAGTGAGTGAATGAGTGATTGATTGATCGTTTGATTAACTGATTGGTTGAGTGAGTGATTGAAAGAGTGAGGATGTGAAGTCATGTTCATGTCCCTTACTGACTTCTTAGAGATTAGCAACATATTTTAGTAACATTATTAATCCCAGTTGAAAAGATTTGTGGCATTTTCAACAATGTACGCTAACTGTTCCAACCCTGATTATACAATCTAATATGAACATTTTAAATCACCTTTAGTTTGTAGCTCAATGGCAAGTGGGGTCAGAATCAATCTTTTTCCATATCAAACTGAAATTTTTTTGATTTAAAGGTGAGAATTTACACGCTTGGCACAAATTGGCCATCCAGTTGGTTGAGCAGAAGCTAAATGACTATTTGAGTCTAGCCATAACAAATTTCAGGAATTTGTTTTAGGCGTTTGCTATTTATTAGCACGAGGTTTCTTAAACTTTTCCCTACAGCCTACACTCCCTTGGAATCCTGAATTTTCCTCACGCCGCCCCATCTCTTCACCGACCATATTAAGCTTGTATTTAATTGCGGAATTTTTATCCCTCTGTTTAATTAATTATTTGTACAATAAAGTTTTTGCATGACTACAATCCAAAGTTAACTTTCAATTGTTTTCGCTTTACCTTTTATTTTAATTTATTATTTTTCTCGGATCCAACCCCCCCCCCACCCCCAAGGTTTAGAAACACTGTTTTACAGGCACCATGTTTTTATGCTGGTTTTTAACTAGATGCCTGATCAGTTTCAACAAAAATCCATTGGACGCAAACTACGTCCAAAACTACTGAAGAATTGCTAATGATTAACAGTAGTTTTGCAAATCGTTTTGTTAGAAACTTAATTTAATATAGATTTGTAGTGGATATATATTATATTTGATAGATATTTAGATATTCTATGCAAATCTGAAATATTTGAGGTGAAATGCTTGGTGAAGCTTTCTTTCTGGCTAATGACATTGACTATTTCACACTAGTGTTATAATTATGGTCAATGCTATCATTACTGACTGTAATATGATACTTTAGACAATCATTAGTCATATACATGATAGGTGGCTCCAGCTCTAAGCAAAAGGATATAAGTCTTTTCTAATGTTAAACAGGAAAGTTTTGGTTTTCAAGGTAATCATTTGTTACTTTGCCTCTATGCAAACAAGTTAAAAATTGAACATAACATCAAGTTACTTACAAAAACCCGGCAACTTTCAGGTCAAAAGTTCCTTTTCTGTCCATGGAAATTCTGCTGTAATCAAAATTAGTCGTTGCGGTTGTCTTTATCACAGCTACGTTGAGGTGAAAAATCTATCTGCTGATTTTAGAAAAGTGAATCGTAGAGATTTGTCTGGTTGATATCACTTGATGGGGAAATGCACAACTGATTAGGCACTAGCCTTGACTCTTGACTCATCTTTTTATGACAACTGCTGTGTTTCAACCAATAGGCAACAATAGCCAGTTCAATGCACAACTGGTTTTCGGAAGTAAGAAAGAAATCATGTACTCTAATAAATATGCAAAATATTTGTAGAGACCTCCCTGATTCTGTCCCTAGTCTGTGATCCAAACTGTATATCTTGTAATTTGTAATTCTTAGTACTAAATTATTTGTGATTCAAAGTAGCCAAATACTTTATCTTTCAAAATGTGGGTTTCCTTTGTCTTTCTTGTACACATTGCTAACAACATCAATCTAAATAGTGGTTCTTTTTCTTTGTCTAAAAGTAATACAGCTTGAAACTATTTTTATTCTGTAATTAGTTCCTCTCATCTTTTATCGTCAGAGTTTTGTAGTTATGGATAACTTTTCTTTTGAGGGTAATAATTTGTTGTACTAATTTTGTTATGTGTAAACGATTCACATTTTTATGGGATACCCTGTTCTAACACATTATTTGTTGGTGTAACATAAGATAACATAATTCTTCTTGGAAAAAATATTTTACACATCAGCTGGTATCATATTAAACTCTGTTTTACATCAAGCTCCGGTTGACGTGCTAGGAACCCGAGTACACCCCTCTCTCTCAATACAATACAATAAATCAATGTTTCAGTCAATGTACATTTAAAGAGAGTGAATGAGATTGGTGAGAATAAGAAAAAACCCAATAATATAATGAGCTAATAAAGTATGTCAATGTGTTTAACAGTTTATAATATCAAACTTCAATTTCAAATGCATTGCTTAGAGAATTACGCAAAGCTGATTGTAAAACTGGGTTTAATACTGTAGTTAGCATTATGAACTTCTTCCTGTAATAACGGGGGTTAGATTTGAGTATTACAGAAACATATTTTAGGGATGAAGCTATCCCCAAATAACTGCTTACATCATTTACTCTTTTTCCTAATGTTTAATTATATTAGTCAACATACACACCATCGTAAACATATAATAAAAACCATAACCACCCTCAGATTCAACGAGTCTTGCCGTAGCTTAAACATTCTCCATTATAGATTTACCATCCTTATCGATCAGTTGAAGATTTGAAGATATTTATGTTGTGGACATATTCTACTTATTATTTTTCACTCTTTAAAATAACAACAGCCTAACAGATCTCCTTGTTCTATACTGTTTGTTCTCTAGTACAATAAATTAAGAGTACAATTTACCCTCAACCAAAATACTTACATTAGAATAAGAGAGAAAACATCACACAAACACATTCGAGTGTTAGCAAAACATGAAACAAGTTTCAGATTTTACAATAGTGTGATAAGTCTACTTGAAGTATCTAAAGTCAATGGTCATAATGAATCCTCAATAGATAGCACAAGAATACTTCAATGTTACAAGAATTTAAAAATATTTTTACAGTAAAACTCCAATTGGACGAATCAATTGGGACCGTACCACATTCAGATGGTCAAAAATTCAAATAGTTGGTTTTTCACAAATCGCAAAATTTGACCCTTTCACAAAGGACAAAGGGGGATTTTAATTACGGATGACGAATATGATTTTCTGTGACGGAGATGATGTCTACAAGACCGCGGAAGATAATCAAGATTTTTGCCACAGTTGCGGAAATTCATGATGTTGTTTCTGTGATCGCGGAAGACGAATATGATGTCTACAAGACTGTGGAAGATATTCAAGATTTGGCCACAGTCATGGAAAAGATTACGATGTTTCTGTGACCACGGGAGGCGACAATAATGTCTACACTACCGAGGGATATATTTACCATTTTGCCAAGATCACGGAGGATAATGATGATGTTTCCGTTCCCGTGGAAGAGAATTATGAGGTTTACAAGATGTGCAAAATTTTACCAAGATCGCGAAAAATGATGACAATGTTTTCATAACTATGGGAGACGATGGTGATGTGTACATGACCACAGGAGATGTTTTAGATTTTGTCGGGATCACGGCTTCTACCTTCTTTAATAATAATTCTTATTACCATAAGCAATTCGGATGATTGGCATTCGGATAATTGGAGCTCTACTGTACCTTATTCCCTGCTTAAATTTTCATAAAACGAGGTACTGCTTTGTTTCCATTAACTTTTCTAAGAGACCAAGGCAGAACAATTTGGCAGAATCAGTTTTAGAAGAACGGACTTAGAAAATCACCAGGTGTGAAAATTGGAGAACGAAGGATAAAACTGAAAAGGTATAGTAGCACGAGCATTTAGATTTGCAAAATGAGTACTTGTTCACAACCTAGTACGCCAACGAGTTGTAATTAAAAAGCAAATGGTGGCATTTTCAACCTTACCTTGCCTGTTCTATGGACTTTACCCTTCAGAAATTGATACCTGTATGTTTTCCTGTGTTATTAGTGGTAATATCCAACACTAGCTTCAGTTCAGACTAATCATCCCAGCATGCAAACAAACTGTCTTTCAACACCTGGAGTAAAAAAGTTTGATTCCATCCTAACATTTCACGCTAGTATAGTTCAGCTGATTTCTCTATGCATGTGATGTAATGGTGTGTTGATTGGTCTGTAGAATTTAAATTAACAATTAAAATAACACCAAGTCTTGGATATCATATGAGCACTGTGCGGCTTTAGAGAATATTTCAACAAGGAACATGGAGTGGCTCAAAGTCAAAACAATTTAGTGAATTGCTAAATCCACAACAGTGATCATTTTGCAATACTTTTTCAATGAAACACAACATTCATATGATATTCAACTCTTCAAGTCGCTTTGGAATAGAAACTGTTTTCAATTAAAGTAAAAATCAATTCCAACCAGTAGCTTTTAGCCTGTGTATGCATTCATTATGCAATTTCACAGAAGACCCTTAATTTAGACACATCAATTGTTAAGTAATTAGGTGCAATGATTTTTTGGAGATCTATCTAATTAAAATGGTGGTGTGGAAATCTTAAACCTACTGTATTTTTACCTAAATTTTCCTGATGAGTATAGAAATCATGTGGTTACCGCTATTTAGAGCGTTTCAGTGCATGATCAAATCCAATTGACCAACTGTGTAAATTAGGATACTAATTCATATTGTTGAGTTTCTCACCATCTAGTCGAATCAGATTTTTGTAGTTAAAGTTTGATGACAAACATTTGTACAAGTATAATGTCTTAGAAAATTTGAATACTAAAAAAAACACTTATTTTTTCACCTAATTTTAAAATGATTTTCTTTTCTATATCTAAAACACGATTGATTGTGATGAACGATGGAATAAGTAAGATATTAAGTAAGATAATAAGTAAGATCCCTAAATTACCTTCTAACACTCTTTTAACCATCACTCTCTTTTATCACATCAAAAATAATTATTACACTTTAATGTAGGTTTTTGCTGCACTGAAGTTTAACAACTATCTAGTAGCCTATATATTATCTGTTAATATATATACTGTGTAAAAAAATGATACTTTGTGTAATTCAGAGTTAAATTATGCTAATTCCTACCAAAATCATTGTATTTTTCCAAACTGTAGTTGTATTTACATCAATTTATGTTTTCATCTATTCTGTTAACAGTCATAGTCGCGGTCCTATGTCATTTATAATATAAAATATCATTTAGTAGATATTTTACCATACACAGTACTACAAACCAAAAATATTAATGAATATTACTTCTCCGTTATCTAAATTTGAACAAAATTGTTTCGTAACACTTAGTTTAGCAGTAGGCCTAATTTTAACAATGCCAGTAGTGGACAGTAGTGTTTGTTGCAGAGGATTAGAGGTCCACATCAGATGATGCCTCCCCCGGCTACTGTGCCGCCGTATCGTCCCCACATGTTCCCAGGCATACCACAAGTACCACCACCTCGACCAATCTTCCACAATCAACGGCCGGTGAGTAATGGTCTAGCTAGTTATCAATAAAGTAGATGCAAATCGGTGTTTCCCAACCTTTTTCTCTGGCGTCCCACTTCACAAGACAAAATATTTTGCGTACTTTACCATTTATTAACGTTGAGGTATTTATAGAAGGAATATTTTTGTTAATTTGCTAATCTAATGTACCTATTTTCCAACCTTACAAACTTTTCCGGAGGATAAGATTATATTTTCACAATAAGTGAACACCTGAATGAAGCACTGAGCAATGGGCTCAATAATTTTAATTTTGCTCATATTAGGTAATGGAGTGCTTTTATTTTAAATCAGTCACCAAGGTTTTACTGCGTTAAACTAACGAAATAATCTTGTACCCATCCAACAAAGTCTTTTGACTATACTTATCTGCTGATGGGCTTTGAACTGATTCTTGAGTATTAGCCAAAACAATCTTGACATAATATTGTACTTAAAGCATCACCATGTACCACCGCAGTGGCCTCTGCATACCACAGGTTGGGAAACACTTATCTAAAGTACAACATTAGGTTATTATTTCACTCACTTTGCAGGGTAGCAGTGCTCATCATAGCCACTCGGAAGGTATGGGAAAGCTAAATTTAGAATTTTTAATAAATTATCGTGAACGCGAATATAGCAAAATTAATTTAGAAACTGAAATTAAGTGTGAATTGTTGTACTTGGTTAATACAAAAGTAGGGAAAATAAACTCGGTCGAACACCAGAGTCAATGCGGCGTTTCTTAGATTAAATAATCGTAAGCCTGTTTGGGGTGGTTAAATTATTGTAAGCCTGTTCGGGGTTTTTAAATAAATTCTTTGTATATCGTTCTGGCAACTTAAATGATTTCCGAAGCTGTTTAGAGTCAAGAGGATGTATGCTCATGTGTGAAAAAGAGTGCAGGATGCTTGTGATGCACGGCTACGGGCACAATAAAATAAAAATAACAAAACTTCCCAACAATGAGATCAAACAAAATAAACTCGGTAGCACACTAGCCTAACGCCTGATGACTCCACCACCAAGGGAAAAATATTAAACTGTCCAGAGTTATCGAAAGCTAGACTGCTGGTTTAGTCTCCAAACAGCAAGCGTATAGACAATTTGGTACCAGGTGGGAAACTGATCATGAGATGAGCTCGTATGGCAGTTCTTCACCACCGCCCCTGGTGGCGGGGTAGCTAATTAGCTCTACGGTGACATCGAACCCCTCTCGTCCTGCTCCTTCCATGACGTTGACTACGCGGGCACGGTTTACCCCGAATGTATTAGATTATATAATAAACTCTAAATAAAACTTTTAAAACAGATTTTTACCCCTCGGCGGATTTTTGGTCGTTACTCAGGTTCCATTTTTTAAAGAGGTTAGCAATCTCGTTTATCCATGTAGTCCTCAGGCCTGTGTGGAACATATCAAGCTAAGTAAGATGTGAGATTGGGGTGTCACTGGGATGCGGACCCATGCTTTGGATTCAGTCGGCTTTGCTACTAACTTAATTAACCCACCCACCTTCGCTATTTAGCGTTCTGAGTCATGAAAATCTATCTAAGTCTTTTGATTGTTGTGTTACCATAATTTTTTATGTATTTTATGTAACCTACATATCATTTTTTTTATTTCAGCCTCAACCACCTCCAGGTTTTTACCCTCCAAGAAGCTTCTGCCCTCAATGCCCATAAGAACATGATCTACAGACTCAGATCAAGAACTAAAATGGTGTCAACACCAAGATAACATCATGGTGCAATTTACAACGGTATCTTAAACTTAAAGATACAAAATTGAATCTCAACACTGCTCAACAACCAACGAACAAATTAGTATGAACAAGAATTAGGTTGCCTTGTTTGCCATAGATCTGTAGAGGAAAGGCTATTAATATTGAATATTTTGTAACACCTTTTGGGAAACTTGTGAGTCAAAATACGAGAAACCTGAATTAGTTAAACCCTTATCTTAACCTCATTATTTATGTTAAAGTGTATAGTATATTTATTTTCAACTTTTATTTAGAATTTACTATTTTTAACCCCTCAAAGGCAGCTTATTTTAGAATTTGGGAATACCCACATGCCAAATTGACCGTTTCCCTTTAGGTGTTGAATATAAAGTGATCAATGAATTTGTCTAACTTGATGTTCCTTTTGTACTGTACTCACGTATTACTTAAGCTAAGATTGTATTTAGAATTTATTATTTTATTTATTTTTATACTTTAATAGTTACTTCAAGTAGTACTTAGTAGGTTCCATTATAGTTTTCAAGTATTATTTTTCATTACCTAGCTTGTAAGAGTATTTTTCTACATGTTTGGGAAAATTAGCTTTTAAGAAAGGCTATTTTAAAATGGTCTGTGATAACTAAAAAAACTTCTGGCAAAAAAACAATTGTTATGAACACTATATGATTACAAAATTTAGTTTGTATAACAAAATGCTAAGTTGTGTTATATAATACTAAGTAGTCTTAATACTAATTAATTGACAATATACAAGGTTTAATCACATGCTTAATGTTTTGCAACAACTGTTTTTTAGTTTCCTAACATATTTAGTTTTAAATCTCTCAGTTTAAGTTTGCATTCTGTATACTAAGTATCATGGTTTCTAAACGTATGAGGGCTATTCAGAAAGTAAGGAATGTCAAAATTGTGAAAAAACGTGCAAAGCGAGGTTGTTCCCGTTGTCACGGCTGAACGCCGACTGAGTTGCCGAGTGCACACGCACCAAAATGTATGAGATCAGCGCCCCTAGCGGCGTCAGAACGAAACGTTCCTTACTTTCCGAATAGCCCTAGTAGATTCTTATTTTTATTTTTAACAAGTTTTGACAACGTTTTGTTAAAAAGTTATTTTGCTTCTATTACAACTAAGTTGAGGACATGTTTTTATGTTATGAAAACTTGTTTATTTTATTGACATTATAGTACTAAGCAATTACATAGTATTAATAATGTTAACATTTTGTTGTATGTTCCTCTATATTTTGTGTGGCTACTACCAGTTCCAGTGTTAAAATCATTAAGCAGTTAAATTCAACGTGTGTTTGCAGTAGCGGTATGGATCAGGTATAGATTATTTTGGATTTCCAATCATTCAAGTGAACTTATGTTTATTTTTTGAAAGTTAATGAAAATGTTCAACAATAGTATTGAAGTGTACAGATTGTTGTCAAAGTATCTAAATTTGTTAATTGCTGTATTTTTCTATGGATGTTTCTATTTAAAGTGTGCATTGTTGCTAAAATAGCTACATAAATAATATTTTCTGTGTAAAGTAACCTATTAGGTTATACTTTGTTGTATGTATACTATCTTGTGAGCAGTTTTGTTGTTTTGTTGTTTCAAGCAAGGTTTTATTGAGTTTCACTAGTTTTTCTTGTACCTTTTATTTCCAAATTTATTCATCCACGTTAGTAATCAATAGTAAACGAACATGTAACTCGATTTAACTCTATACTTTGGCTTTTCATCCCTATTTTCATTAAAGGTTGATGTTAAATTCTATTTGAAAAATTACTTGTTACTCGTAAGCTTTAAAATGTATCTAATATCGCTAAGATTGTGTATGTAATTTTAGTCAGTATACAGTCAGCTATTTAAGCAGCAATAAGAATTTATTTTGTTTTTTAAAAGTTTTAGTTTGTTTAATCGTACGATATTTGCTTCACCAGCACTTTTTCTTGATATAAACTAGGGTTTTCCGTCTTGTAGTATTGTGAGATGCTCTATTATAAAGTGAGAGTTTGTGTAAGCCACAAACACCTGTGTGCAAAATGTTATGTCCAAACTGAACCACTATTATAACATTTACGTGGTTTATTCAAACATCAGGGGTAACTATGCAGCTGGTTTATTTGTTCATGTAGCTTGGCAACATTGTGCATACAGCATGGTTACATGCTAACAAGTCGTGACCTGTCTTTTTACATGCTCACTTGCTAATCCCATTGTTAAAAATGAGCAAAATGTTAACGGAGAAAATCTATAAATCTCACTTTCCCGTAAGATAGAATGATTGTTTTATTATTAAAATATGTTTTGTTTGATGATTATCACAGTGTTTATACCTAGAATAATGCCAGTGTTTTGTTCACATATGTTGCATTTGTGTTAGTAAAAGTATTATTTTTTTGAATTTGTTATCTTAAAATAGTTTCCTAATTTTAGAGTTGTTTTCCATTAATGCGATACTCACAAAGACCAGTAAAAAAAAATGATAATTATGATTGTCATGACATGTTTTTGTACTAAAAGTGCTATTTTTATGTTTGAAATAAAAGTTAACCATTTGGGAACACGTTTCTTGTTATTGCTCAGCTGCTCTCCTGTATCCTTTCCAGTGCACAGATATACAAATATTGAAATGTTATTGTATCCATAAACAAAGATAGGTAATTCAACTTGAACATCTTTCAAATAAAACCTCATCATCTATGTTAAACTGTACTTGGTTTTCAAAAGCTGATTAAAAACAGTCTAACTTAAGCTGTAAATTGAAAAAAAAAAAAACTATCTAAACAATTAACAAGTATTTGTGATAATTGGCATTTTCAACATTTTTAAGTGAATGGTCTGAACTTGAACTTGGATGGTCTTATGTTACTGTCTAACGTTGACCGTTAGATAGAATCATTAATTTAATTAATAGCCTAGTAACAAATGCCATCACGTGGACCTTTTACAGAAATATTATTAAGCCTATATGACTTAAACAAGTAAATTTGTGTAAGAGTGGTCAAAATAACCAGAGAAGAGATACTGGTAAAGTAATGGTTTCTCCAAAAGTTCTTAGGGATAATGTCTTCCCCAAAAATCAACCTTTGTTTTGAATTACGAAAGAGTTTATTGAATGCATTGCGGAAATTTGTTATATATTTGAGAACACTCGTACTGTTGGGACAAACGGAATTAGTTCAGCTTATGTTGTGTAGGTTTTATAGTAGTTTACGCAAAGACCGCATAAAGATAGTGTAACGACACAAGTAGAAATTTAATGAGAGCTTGCCTTGAGTGTTGTTAGACTATTTACGTGAGAAGCGTACACTATCTTACCTACAACACAACAGTTTTTTTTAATTATTAACAATCACTACTCATAACTTCTAAGAGAGAGGCTATGTTCTCCTTTATAACCTCACAGTGCCACTGACAGTGATGCAATGATCATTGTACCAAACACAAATTATTGCACCACTTATTAATGATTAAATTGGTCTAAACAGCTGATTAGTTGAAATTCGAAGCATACAATTTTACTTCTTCTCTATCAATCCTGGAACCTTGGTGGTCCGTTCCCCGTGCTCTTAAGTAAAACAATAATGCTGTTAATAAGAAAACAGTGCTGGGAATCTTTTCAATTTTAAGAACTGAACTGAAACGGCTACTTTAAAAAACTTTTGTGGGCAATAGTATATTTTACTACTAGTCACGAAATGGGACTTTCGAGTATTGAAATATACTTTTTATCACGATGAAAAAAATTGCATCAAACATAAAAATTATCTGTTATTTTGATATCAACAAGTTGTAACTTTGTTGATGTCAGGCAAGTATTGTTTGTGTAGCGAAAGTAATGTCTATGTCAGGAAAAGTCAGCTGATCACTATTTGTTTTTGGTGTATGGAAATTGATGATTTTCGAAGGCCTTAGCTATATGGAAATGGCTATTTTGAATACAGAGTGATGAAAAAGTATTTTTTGTCATTCTTTAGCATGAACAGCTGTTTTCAATTCAATACATGTGTTGTGGGGCTAAACTAGTTCTTTCTATCTTGTAAAAAAGATTCAGCTGGAGTTGAGGACCTTAGCTGTACATTTTTCAGACTATAATATTCCTCAGATTTTATTAAAATAAATAGTCATGATCAATAGTTGTAACATTTTCTCATATTTTTTTAGATAAACAATATGGAAATTATTTCGTTATGTAGCAAATAAAGTGCCAACCCGTATGAAGTTTTAGTCTTGTGAGCTATTTAAAAGTGGTGCAGTGTGATGAAAATAGAATTCATCACCAACCAAAATGTCTTTTCGGTCCTCGCTCATTTTGGTATTAAAAAAATGCATTGACTGTAGAGAGTAAGAAACATGTTCAATTACCTGTGCATATATTTGCGACAAAAGATTTATTTAAAACCTATATTGCTGCCAATTGCACTCTGGAACTGGCTAGTTTTTGATGGATCGGTTTAATTGCTGCGCACCGAGAGAGGAAGTTGCTCGTTTATGTGATTGTGTCCCAGGAAGAGGGAACAGAAGCTGTCAGGACTTGGAGGTGAGCTAATCCATGGTTATTGCAGTCAAATTTCATATTTATCTATATAGTACCAGGAGACCGAACTTTGCTCGGATTGAATTATTAAATTTATTAGAAAAGTTATTTAGCTAAATTAAAGATATTTGTACGTTAATCAATGTGGACAAATTTTAGATGTTACAAAGGAAACATTTTAATACACCTCATAAATACATAGATTGCTATAAAAATTACCAGTATCAGCTGTTTTATTAACTGCAGCTACAAAAATGTATTGACGATAAAATTAAAGAGCTGTAACATTAAAGGACTCCCTTCCACTTTTAAGGGCTGTAGGGCGGAAACTGGATTTTTCCCAGCCTTGTGACCAACTCCAATCAATTTCTCGTGGCCAAATACCCCATAATAGACAGAAAAATTAAAAATCCTTGGACGAAAATAAAAGTTTGTCCGTACAATAAATTATGTTACCGTAAAATTTTACAAAGAAAGTATCAAGTGTTTTTGGATAATTGTTTTTTTTTTATTTTTTATTAAGGGTTATTACATTTTTTGTCACATAACTTTAATACTTTATTACTTTTCAATGAAATGGCAACCTTACAAAGTAGGTATTTTAAGCCAAGTATGAATGGGGATGAGTGGCGCGATCTTGTAGTCTTGTTAGTGACTATGTGGATAGTAGTAGTACTCACTAGTGTGGACGTTAATCCACACTAGGGATTATCAAATCCACAGTGCATGCCTATAAATATCCACAATTCGTGATCTCCTAGAAGCTGGGATTACAGGACGTCGCCACCATCCCAGTCAATATATACAGTTTTATCCATATTCAGCATTATTGTATATACTGAAGATATTTTATTCAATTTTACAAAAACTTAAGTTAATCTTCTAGATTTTGCCAACTTTTATGGCATCTTCAAGGGGTCTTCTTATATCATATTCTTACCACTAATCACGCGATAACGGACTCGGGGCCGAAGGTCTTTCTTCCTCCGTTTTATTTATTGGAATGAGTGTTGGAATTTCTGGCAGTGGAAATTTGAGGGTAGGTTGGACTTTTCAGGATTATGGTTGAAATGCTTTAATCGACTTTTTAAAATCAATAGTCTCATAATCACTGTTGTGTTGCCGGTTTGTTGTTGTGTTTTCAGTTTTGTCAATTTCAATGTTGTAGATCAATTTGAAAATTGTAGGTGCAGTCTTCCTTTTTTTAGGTGGGTGTTCACAAAGTTATTCATTTTATTTTTCACATTTTTGCGGGTTTTTTTAGATGTGGATCTAGGTTCCTAGGCTCATTCAGGGCCAGATTTATTTGTTTGCACTGAATTAGTTTATGTTCCTAAAGTTAGATCTTTAAACCATAGTAACTATCATCCTCGAGTTTCAGAGATGAGGCTGCCAGTATGTATTGGTGTGATCTTTGTTCTGTCAATGGTTGGTGGGGTACACAACAGCCAAGACAACTCAGGTAACTACAAAACGAAATACTAGAATTTTTAATCTTGCTTTAAATAGTGTTGATGAACGTTTAAAAATGGATTTCACAAGGAAGTATGTTTTATTTTATTTATGGTTGCACCAAACCAGCTCTCATCTCCCTAGACTAAGACCTCACATCTGGTCTACTCATTACTCAACCAGTAGACTCGTTAATTTGGCATATTTAGGATCCCGGAAGAAATGCCGGATTACTCAATCCTGTAGAAAATAGTTGTTATTCAGATGATGGTGGGTAGCCAGCTAAAATATACTGGTAGTCAAAATGGATACCTTTTCAGGTAATTTAAAATGTCCTGTCCCTTTTTATATTTTACAAGAAAAAGTATCCATCCACATAGCAAAAATTCATCAAAAAATGCTTGTTTTTTTACAGATATAGCAGGTGATGTGAATGACCTGCTGGAGATGGTCCCGTTTGACCAGTTAGCAGCTCTCTTCTTTGAATATCTCTCAACGGATGCACAAGTCAACAAAGTCCTACGCTACCTCACCGATGAGAGATTCAAATTAAATCTCGTCCAGTTTGAAACTTCTGCAGCGTTTCATGAGGTATGTTTGTTAGTTTATCAATTCTTAATTCTGACTTAACAATATTGACTATTGAGATGTAATATATTGTACAAATTTGTTGGTGTTAATATGGGTTTCATTGTTGATCCAGTAAGAGTGAAGTTGATAATTTATTTGTAAATAATAGTGGTTATTATCAAGAGTAAGCTTAATTAATTTAAGGACCCTGTCTTTAGGAACTATTTACGTTTTTGAACATGTAACTCATAGGAATAGGAAATGAGAGCGTTTAATAATATACAGTGGAACCTTGATTAGAAGACCCTCAATAACAAGTGTCATTTTCAAATCCCCTTAAAATTATTTTACCCCTAATCACATGTTATTAGAAACCTCGATAAGAAGTCAATCTTGATAACAAGTCTTGTTTTACAATCCCCATGAGAGTCTTGTTGACGTAGATTTTTATGGGCTTCACTCACCTTTATTTTTGTTTGTGATGTCCGGGACTCGTCAAAACATACATAAACACTCATATATACAACACAAAATCGTCCACGGCATCAAGGTCCGACGTTTCGCGGAACTCAAAACAACGTTCCGCTTCTTCAGGGTATTAATAAACTATTTTTAGCCCGCACGCGGGTGGAACGCCTAACCACGACTGCCGGATCAGCTGAGCTTGGAGGAGGACGGGCGGGGGCGGGGGTAGGTGCATTGTCCATTGTTGATAAGCCATTCACGCTCCTGGCCTTATCTTGTAGTTGTTCTAGTTCGTTTTTTACAATGTTTAAGTACACCGTACTGACATCCACCGACAGTCCACCGGCAGTCATGGTTAGGCGTTCCACCCTCGTGCGGGCTAAAAATAGTTTATTAATACCCTGAAGAAGCGGAACGTTGTTTTGAGTTCCGCGAAACGTCGGACCTTGATGCCGTGGACGATTTTGTGTTGTATATATGTGTGTTTTGACGAGTCCCGGACATCACAAACAAAAATAAAGGTGAGTGAAGCCCATAACAATCTACGTCAATAATAACACCTCGCCTAAAAGCATGTCGTTCAAAAACAGAGAGTCTTGTTATCAAGGTTCCACTGTATTTTCATTTTCTATAATTTCCAACATAGTCTTCCGTCAAATGTTAACAAAATTTTGTTTGAACAAAAACAATACTAACCAAAGATTATATAAGAAGAAACGGATACACAATCAACTGATTTAAGAAAAGAATTCCAGACAGTTAATGCACATAAAGTTCACAACACATTATTACGACCCAGCAAGGGGAAGTGGTAGAATGGTTTACTTATCAACTTCTTGTCCTTGCCCACCTTCTTAGAAGGAAGTAGTCTAGTAGACTCTCTTCAATATATTCCTATTGTTCATTAAGTATTCCTTAAGAGTAATTTTTCATTCAAACAAATACAAAAATATTTAAACATACTGTAGTTTGTTAAATGATATAACATAGAGCACAAGGTCTTAGGTTTTAAGGATTTTCAACAGGATAGCATACAATGCTTACCTGAATGGGAAAGTGTTCACTCCGGCACTTAAAAAACATTTTTTCTTGTGCCAGATTGGAATCTTTCTTATTCAGGTATTCTTGCAATCCAAAAAAAAATTCTTATGACTAATCTCACTGTTAACTACATAAAGGCTATAATATCATCTTGAAGTAAAAAAATGTTATTTTATTTCTAAGTGTTACATTTTACAGGCATACGACTCCCTGTTGCCACTCGGGGTCGACATATACTCATGGACCAATGAGTTGAACCGGCTGTTGGACATTGCCACTATACGACCAGTGAGACGAAGACGATCACCAGGTGATGGGGTCTACAGTCTCGTGAAGGACGCACTGACGTTGCTGCCAATACATGATATCAAGGAGGCCTACAACCATAAACTGGACACCAACCCGGCTTTTGAGGTGTGAAATATATATATTGTTAATCAACTGTTAGATTAGACTAGGTGAAACGTGAAACCCGTCGAAATCGACGGTCACTGTCAAGGCTTACGCTAATTATTCATCTACGGAAAGTTAGGTGTAGTGGAATATACTTGAAGTGAAGTTGGCTTTTACTCTTGAACTGTTAGGGACCTCCTTGTTTATATGGTTGTGCGGCTTCATTGGCAACAAATAATTCAAATTACATAACAATGCGGCATTTGGAAAAAACAATAAATACTGTAAATATATTGACGTTTACATGCATTGTTGAACAACGTATCTTATAAAGGATGATGTGATCTAGTTTAAAAGAAATATGACCTTTCTGTCATGACAATAGCTGCTTAAATAGTATTTACTCTTTGTGCCTTTTTTACAGCCAAAATGTCGTGTTATTTTAAATCATGTTAACAACCCAGTGAGCCACGGTCCGTAATATAGACCACTTCAAACCACTGATTTCGTAATGGAATGTTATATTGCAAAACATGACATGATACAGAAGAAAATAAATTTTAAAATCAGAAAATAGCATTGCAAATACTTCTTTTTGGACAATTTAGTAACTCCCAATAAATGTGTGTTGTTTAAAACACAATTGAAAAATCAACAGCTGTTTCATTAAAAAGTATTATCCACATGGCCAAAATGTAAACAAATTTGTCGAGGGATCTTTAAAAGCTTCTGGGGCAGAGCCCTAAGAGAATTTACTTCGTGTTTCTTTTGATAACTCATCTACAGACCAATGCCTTTCTTTAGAGACCTCTACCAAGTTTCTACGTCCAGCCGTTCTCTCAAATTAGTGGAGACAAAGTTTCCAATTAAATATTTAGATTTTCCCATGTTAATCTTATGGGAGAAAACCCAACTTTGATGGAAGATCCTGCCCAAACTAATAAAGATTTCAAAAAACCAAAAACACTTTGCAAAACTACAGATCAGGGCCATTTTTTTACACTAAAATCATCAAAATCGGTCCAAAAATGTGGGAGGAGTTCTGTTCACAAAAATCGGCTTAGCATATTATATATATAGATGGTTAGGACACTAACATACTACAGTGCATATATTTTAAGGCTAAGTTGAATGAAAGAGGTGTATTAAAGAGATGATAGGTTTGTTGTAGGATCAGCTGGTTTGGCCAAGACCATCCTTATATATAATACGTGAAGGCAATTTCTACGAAACACTACTCCTCCGTTAATAATGGACGGATTTTTACAAACGATGTGTCAAAATGAAGTATTTTTTGTGTAGACGCCCCCTTTCACCAATTTCTGCACTAAAATTTCTCAGGCTTTGCCCCACAGGCCATCAAAATCCCAATGTATTTCTTATGAAGAAAAGATTATGTTTACTTAAACGAACAATTTGTAATAACTACAGCTGTTCGTAGTAAATACCTGATACAAACAAAAGCGTTTGTTTTCAGTTTGGATAACTGGAGTGGAGTGAGCGTTCGTTTTCAGAATGTAGAATGAGTTCAGTTCGTTTATATTATGTATTATAACTGGTGTGGAGTAATTGATTATTTATCTTTGAGTTGACTCTTTCAAGTCGTCGAAAAAATTATGACTGTTATTCGTTTTGAAATTACGCCTGCAACATTTTGCAATTGCTCGAATTCGATGAGGGGACCGAGCAGGTTTTTACATCCCGGGGCCGCAAAATCAGCTGTCCGCTTACTTACTTAAAACATAAATGCATTTGAAATACACAATCAAAATCCATAGCATTGCAATAGAATTGTGTTATTGTCACCGTTGCCTAGCAACTATTTATTTTTACTTTTGCTGATTCCTCAAATTATTTCTTCACATAACCTTAAAGTTGTAGTTGTGTTGACTATCAGTGTGCATTATTATAGTGGTGAATAGTGGTAATAGGGTATAGTGTGGTGAAAAATAGCGTTCGTACCACGGACCGAAATGGTTTTGCAGCTCTCGATCGATTTAAGTTCTCGACTTCGTCTCGAACTTAAAAACTATCTCGAGCCGGAAAAACCTCATTTTCGGCCCTAGGTACGAAATATACTATTATGTCAAGAAACGTTTGAAGTTTCCAGGTGTGATCCCAGTACTAATATATAATTTACTAGCTGGCCCGACAGACGTCGTCCTGTCCTTATGAGGTTTTATGTCAAATGCTCATTCATTTTCAAGATGATCTCGTTCACATCGCTCAATCACGTCCTGCTTGAAATTTGTTTGCTACGCTTACTCACCTTTAGGTTGAAATTCATTCGTTACGCTCACTCACCCTTTGGTTGCAAATTAGCTGTTGTCATAAATTAAAAAAAATAATAGTGCTGCACCCTGTTGGTGGACCTATTAACTTTTTAATGCTATTGAACATCACAGAATCAAATTGTTTAGTTGAACCAGCTGTTAAGATTCTTTAATTCCATTTAACTATAAGTACTCATAAGGTTAACATGGGAACCTCTAGAGCCACTGGGGCGGAGCCCTTTTGACGGATATGCACCAAACTTCACACAAACCATCATTGAATAATGCTTGCTTAATAATGCCTGAAAGTTTCATTACAATCTGTCAAGCGGTTTCGGAGTCCATAACGTTTAAATATATATACAAACTTCCTCTTTTATAAATATAGATTTATTGACTTGTCTAAAATTTAAGGAAACTGGATCTGTAGAAAATAAAGAAAAACTTAACACCTACAACACTTACTCTATCGAGCTTGAGTTAAGTCTTACTAAGTTTATGTTAAGTCTTACTATGAATAAATTCCCAATAACACTTATCGTTAAAGATAATTATTCAACAATGCTTATCAGCTGATTATCAAGGAAGTAAAGAAAACAGGGATACCAATGTAAGTGCTTGTTGTTTCATTTAAGGCTTAACTTGAAAATATGTTACAGAGAACAATGGATCGTCTGCTGACAGTTGAGTTACGCAATCACATCTACACTCTGATGAGTACGGAGGAGTTTGAGCTGACGACACGACAGTTGGCAGACCTGGGGGTGGCTGTCAGTGACATTGTTGACCTACTGGAGGACCTCATTGTTGACTTCTTTGACCTCGACAGCAAAGAAGAAGACGACGAAGAAGGCGACGAGTAAACAGAGCGAAATATTACGGAGGAGGCTGAGTCAAAGTTGTAAATAAATTATGTTAACCATGAATGTTGTGTGTTCTTGAAATCAACATAAAAATATTCATGCATCAAAATTAAAATTTAAGTAAATATAAATTACTTTTGGTAAGCATTGTCTTAATTGTTTTTAGCTGCCATTTTGTTATTAGTGGTGCGATTTCAATCTTATTTATGTTAATTGTTAAGTTTTGTCAAGACCTGTAAAATGATACCAAACTCAGCCATACTTCCTATTTTAATATTTTGAGCTACACACCCCAACCCCCTAAAGGAAAAATTTTCCAAAATACCATCATTATTGTAGCCCCTCATATCAAAACAGGTTTCCCCAAACCGATTTGAAATATCTCAAATTGTTAAAAAGTTAAGGGGGGTGCAAGTTAATTTTCAGCCACCGATTTGTGTAGATACAGTATATCCGTTTTGTGGTTTTAAAAGTGATGTTTGTGTGTATGTTGATTAAATTTGGTGTGGAGGTACAAATCCATGGTATCTCCAAGTGTTTTTTCACTTTTTTGAAATTTTGACTTTTAATTTTGATTTTCCATAAAATAATGGAAAAATCAACTTTTCTAAAAAATGGCCTGAACTGTTTTGATAAAAATTTAGCAGTTATAGTGCTTTGAATTTTGAACAAAATGGTATGACTCCAATTGCTGTAAAAATAACTTATGCTATATTTCCATAAAAGCCCCATAAAATAACGGAAAATTGGATTTTCAAAACGATTCCAGTTTTGGTTAAAATGACGTGTATGTTATGGTCCTTACATGTTTTTACAAAATAGTTCAGCTTCAATTGCGGTTATTGCAACTTTTGTGATTTGCCCTACAAAATATCACAGGTAAACTTCCCACCACCCATGATAATGGTTGTTGACAAGCTAATGGGAGAAAGTATGTGTCAGATTGCTGACACCGTTTATTTTCTTTTATGTGCCACCTTCACATCCTAGGACGCTAGGTTCTAGCCCGGGACTATTTTTACACATTACTTCAGGCTAGTCCTAGAGGATAGCAGCATTATCACATATATAAAATTCATTGGTGATTGGCAGGATTTGAATCCACGACCATGGGCTACTAAGCCCCAAGCTTTACCAATAGACCATCTCACTCCCCATAGAGGTAGAACTCGAGTAAATCAAATAAGTCCAAGAAATGTATTTTATACATTTTTTAATTTAACTTAATAATTATTTAACAATAATTCGTTTGATGGTAAATAAATAACATTTCTATTATATTTTAGGTTTGGTAAAATAAAGCAGGATAAAATTTTACACAACATAATGTGTCCTTACCACTCGTTCTTCGTTTAACTTACAATTTTAAATAATCATTTTAATACAAAAAGTTTTATAAAAAGGTTAACTTATTCCCTTTACAAAGCCAAGGCTTTCAACCAAGGGTAAAGGTCTTCTTGTTTTCAACAAATTCCTTAAAAACAAAGTAAAGCTAAATACACAGGATATTTATAACTTTTAAAATGAGTTAAGCAGATTTAAAAAATGATTAACGTTAACCAACAAATATATTAAATAATTTATATTTAAATATATAATACAAATTTATACAGATCAAGAAGGGAGAATACTATAGATGAAGACGAAATACACGGTGCAAGGAAGCTAGGAGCTGACGCGTGCTGAGATACGATTCTCAACCTCTGAAACAAAAAAAAATGTATCTAAACATCTAAACAAAATTCAATAGGATATTGTAGCAAACCCATTCAACCGTTAAAATATATTTACAAGATTTTTTTTATCAGGAAAGCTATTTTGGGGGGGGGGGCAAAGGGTAGAGTTAAGTTAGGTAAAGAGAAAAATATAGGACTTCTTTTAAAAAGCAGATAGTCTCCGGCTTTCTGAAGAAGTCCTATTCTTTCTAATAGGTACGGTACCTTTTATGTATAGAAGCAAGGCCCCACTAGAAAAAACAGGCCATGCTGCAGCTCGGGCAGCGCAACACTACGTAACAGTGGTGGATAGTTGTACTAAAATGCCAGCCAGGGTTTTAGTTTATTTACCTAAAACATATGGGAATGGCGATGGCAATGAATTTATCAATGAAATCTATCCACTAGTGTGACGTCATGGATCCTGCAGCATGGCCTGTTTTTTTCTAGTGGGGCCTTGATAGAAGCCCCTGAACTAGACATTTCTCTTGTAAAATGTTAAACTCTCCCCCTTACTAAAACAAAAACCCTTCTAATTATTTTGGAGATTGGATAGTTATTAAACAAGAATCTGTAAAAGTAAAGTCTTTTGTCTACTGACATTATAGACAAAAAGAGCTAAAGCTTAACTTTTAATGTACTGTAAAAATTATAGCTATGTTCAAGTAATAAATAGATTACACCAACACTTTTAAACAAAGTACGCTGTTGTCATCGAGTTGATAGCTGTTTCGGCTCCAAGCGAGGATTCAGGACCCAGATGCCATTTATCGTTGGGGTATTCATTAATGATGCTATCAAACAAAATGTCAACATTAGATAGTAACAGGACCAGTATTTGGATCATTCCCTAAAAAAATTATTAATAAAAAGGTTAAATACCTATAGTACTGTCTGTGATCCTGGAATTTAGGTCAGCAACCCAGGTTTTGAAGAGGATTATGTGTTTTTAACTCTGGTACCTGCTTGAAAATGAACCTTTAGGTTCGAAACCTGGGTCGCTGACCTAAATTCCAGGATCACAGACAGTACTACAGGTATTTAACCTTTTTATTAGTAAATTACGTGATCCAGAGGCTAAACATGTTCAAAAAAAAATTATGTGATACGCACACACAAAAATTAACTGTACCAGAGAAAAACTGAAGGTTACCTTAAAAAATGAAGGACAGAGAAAATGGAAATTAAATAAGACATTTTGTTAGAGGAAATATAGCTAATAAAGTGAAAATAAAACTAGGCTAAAAATTAAAACTACTATTGTCCAATAATACAAATTACTACCATCAAACCCACTTTGTTACACTACAACCAATTAGTGTTGAGGACATTTAGCTACTCAAAGGAAATCTTCATTTTATTTACTCACAGAGATGTACTTAAAGCGGCATCTCAAAGTTGACGTCCAATTTAGCTGCACGAGCGAGCCCGACAATAGACGACAGTTTGACAGCTAACCTCGCTGCTTCGTCTAGGTTGTCGCAAGGAAGAATCTTCATGCCACTGGACGCAATCAGGACTTTGGCATCGTCCACGTTGGTGCCCTGTAGACCGTATGAGAGTTACAGTACATATTGAATTATGGAGAGTTCTGCAATACAAACTCTCTTCTCTCCTGTTCTCTTTGCCTTAGAAACGTATTAATTTTGTTTTCTAAATAGGCAGATAAAGCAAGAGGGTTTCTGACTACCAGATAACAAAATTATCGCATAGATATATTCCATTTCATTATTATCATGAGTAGAATATTTCACATGGCAGTCTTAAGGATACTAGCCACCCAAAAAACTTTGTAGCTAAAGAGTGTTCTTTACACTTTACCTTTTTTGAATGTGTTTTTACTACTATAACTACTACTGTACTTTAACTACGGTATACAAAAGTCAAAAATACTAATGTTAAAAAACTGATAGAGAAATCATTACAGTTTGCTTAAAACGCTTTCACAATCATTGGAAGGACAGTTGACGGAACCTACATAGAAAAAAATATGATATTTCCAGTACTTTGATAGCGCGATCTCCTTTAAGACTGTGAAACATGGAATTGATTAGGCCAATAAAAACCATTGGTAAATGGTTATTGGTAGAATATTATCTGGGCTTCTAAGACAGAGGCACGTTGGTTTGAAAGTATTATCGTCAAACGTAAAGTAAAACCCAAAGTTTTTAAATGGAGAAACCGTTGAAATAAATAAATAAATAAAACCTAGGGAAGACATTGTTAAATTAATACCCATGTGGCTCTTCCTTTTGTTTCAACAGATTGCAAAAAGGTTAAGTTCTTTAAAAAGCTACTGGGAATGATAAAAAGGTCAATCGTACAAGATAAAACTTACTTGCAGTCTGCAAATGATGGGAACTTTGAGTTTGAGCTCATGAGCTGCGGCAATGATACCCTCGGCGATGACGTCACACCTCATGATACCTCCGAAGATGTTCACCATGATAGCATAAACCTGTGGACACTCAAAAAGTTAGACAAATAAACAACCAATGACAAAACAGCCTGTCAGCTTGACATGACATCAGCTGTCAGTGTGATATGTACTGTGTTAAATAACATTTTCTTTGCAATCAAAACTGAAATTGTGGGATTACAGTCAAGATCAAATCTGGCTGCGGCAAGGTTGGATAGCTAGATAACTTAAAATGTATAAAATTTCTTTGTTGTCTAATTGATTATGAACCGCTATATTTTCCATTTTGAAATCATGATCACTAATAGCACACTACGACAGTTAATAAGTACAGTAATAAGATAAAGTGATAATCTTCCACTCAGCCACAGGTCTCAGTTTGCGCTGCAACTTAGGTGTGAGGGAAAGCAGGCAGATTAGCTGGTATGATGAACTTAGAAATACTTTCTAAAACACAAAGAAAGTGCAGGTACATAAAGCTACCATGTGTATCTTTCAAATGTCTAAGAGTTAGATTGAGGAAAACACATTGTCTCAAAGGTGGAACCTGCGATGGTGTGCAATCATAACACTCAGAAATAGGTCTGAATTTCACGGTACTAGATGGTTACAGGGAGTCAGATAATCGAAACTCAACTGCGATTCCAAGCCATATATGTAAAACACAATTAAAGAGTGGAGAAATCTTCCATTAAAGCTATTACTGTACTTTGTAGCTCGCTTGCAGCAAAAGTCTACCTTAGGATCGGCAGTGATAATCTTGAAGGCTTCTTTGACAGCTTGGGCAGTGGCACCTCCACCGACGTCCAAGAAATTGGCAGGGCTGCCTCCGTGCAGCTTGATGATGTCCATGGTGGCCATAGCAAGCCCAGCACCGTTCACCAAACATCCGATGCTTCCTGTCAGACATTTTTAAACACTGCACGGAAAATCTATTGTTCCAAAGTTTAGTTATTCGTTTCCATTCCTAACTGATTAAACGTTCCAAGAGATCATAAGAATTTTTAAGTTTCAAGAAACCAACAAATGTCTCTACAATATTTTATAAAATGTTTGAAAACTTTACTTGTTTCTTTTTAGGAGAGAATGTCTAATGACTTTACATCATTTTCATTGAACCTAACTAGGTAAGAAATGTAATGGATCAGTAGTAACTGGTTATCATATGATTTTTAAATAATTATAGAGTTGTTTTAGTTCATTTCCAGGGTGAATTTTATCACTTCATTGATGATGTTGTGAGATATTTTATGAGAAAGGGACTCTGCAAACCAGTTGAAGTTCTTTAACAGCCTCAGAACAGAGTGGATACCTTCAAAACCAAATTCTAGACCTTACAGCAATTAATGCCACTTTCTTACAGCAATAAGTTGATAGAATAAATTTCTATCACTAGGATTCAACTAGGAATAGTTTTAAGAGGTTAAACGACATACCATCGAGTGCAATGTAGTTCAGGTTAAACTTTGCTGCTTCCACCTCCTTCTCGTCTTCTTGCGTCCAATCTCTCAGGGCAAACAACTCTTTCTGTCGGAAATCTGCGTTGTCGTCAAACCTCATCTTGGCATCAAGCGAGAAGTCTGTAATACACACAAGCTGATTATGAGAGATAAATTTTATTATTGGTGTTCTGCTTGGTTACCAAAAATGTTGACCTTTATTTTCCCTGATTGACAAAGAAAGCAAGACTTGAATTCCATAATACAATGATAAAATCATTATCAAGGAGTTTTTTTTTTTAATGGACGTGATGGTATAGGCCTATTCAGATTTAGAGGTACGATGCATCGAAAATGCATCAAAATTCCGATTCGATTTGAAGCATCAAATTGCAATTCGATTCAGTGGTGCTCCAAAAAAACCTAAAATAACACTTACAATAATAATTACAATTACAGTAGAACGTCGATTATCCGAATTAATTGGGGATTGGGGTTGTTCGGATAACTGATTTTTCGGATAATCGGTCATTGACGGGAAAAATACGGGGAACGGGAAATGACGGGAAGGGATAGCGGCCGGCGGCGATTTGCCGATTTCGCTTCTGTGGATACTGTACAATAATATAAATTTGACTAATTATAGAGATGTGCGAGTACTTGAGATTTCGAGTTCGAGTACGGCCTTGAAACTCGAGCTTATTTCTTAACTCAGCAGTTTCGAGTCGAGTTTGGTTTAAATTGGTAAAAAATCAATATTTGTTAAAATGTAACTTGTGTTTACATGAAATACTGGATAATTTTTACTACTGTAGATTCTACAGTAATTCAAATATTTTTACAGTGTAGAAATAAGCAAGAGGTAGTTGTCCTAACCTATTTTTTTAGCTGTTACAACAGAATAGGTCAACTCAAAGCAGTCGCCGGCGACTGACTGGCCATGAAAAACAATAGAAGGGAGGGAGGGGTTGTGCAATGACCTCGAAGTGAGCGGGCGTAACAACAGTGAATGAAGTAGGGGTTTAGGGGGGAGGGGAAGGGTCAGACCTTTGAGCTATATTTAGACTAGACTTTCACCACTTAGCAGCCGTGCGGTGGCGTAGCGCTACGGCCAGTCGTGATTGGCGCGCGATTTTATTGATTTTTGCTTCTTTCTTCCTTTTGGTTAACCGACGTTTCGGATGACCGGGCTTCGGATAATCGACGTTCTACTGTACACTGTTTACTTACAGGACGGTAAATACACATAAAAGATGGTAAGTGGTGATCAATTTTGTTTGGACACTCCAATCATCATCAGACCCATTCGCCTATTGGTATGATTCGCCTATTGTGTCTGATGATGATTGGAGTGTCCAATCAAAATCGATCACCACTTACCATTTTTTTATGTGTATTTACCGTCTTCTTGTGAGTAAACAGTATAGGTGTAAATAAGTGTTATTTGACATATTTTTAGTGCTTTCAGGTAATTCAATAACACGTACGATGCTGATCAAGAACTTATTTACGTTTTACATGTTGAATCAAAACACTTTACTTCAGATCCTCATCTGGCAATGAATTTCCATAGCGGTTGAAGACCGAGAGCATAGAATTAAGTGATCTAATAACAAAACACGATTTATACTTGGTGAGAGCATCAAGTCTTTTACAAAGTTTTTGAACAAAATGACAAGACTTAATAGGGTTAACCAGCTAGAATTAAGTGGATGAAGTAGTACAAGTTGTCTGCCTCAGATTGGAACTAGCTTGCTTGGCTGCTACGAGAGCTCGGATGGAGACCTTAATGTTAATTTACAGATAAGTCTACAGTAGTATTTTCCAACTCAAATAAACGTATCATATTTAAACTTCCTTACACAATAAACAGACCCATTTATTGACCAATGATCAAGGACAGCTGGGTCCAGTTACAAAATATCAAAATACTACTGAAATATAGGATCAAACCAGCTGTCACTTACAGTTGCCGTTCTGATCCTCAGCGTAGGGGTTTATCTCTATCAGCAGAGCGTCCTTTTTGAGAAACAGATCGTACATCTTGAGCAGCATCTCCGCAGTCTGGTCTCGCTTATCTTGCAGTCCCACCTTGTCTGCTACCTTCAGCGCAATGTCCTTCGACAGACCTGCAATCAGAGATAAGTTACCTTCCTGTATACTCCTGAACAGTATGGATTCTTGAATCACTTACACCCTGCAATAGAACAACAAAGTTGTGAAAACCCAATAAACTGAATACAACACAGTCTCACAAACTCCGCGTAATGTGAACTGGAAGGGTGTCGAGTAAGAGAAACTACAGTTTGTCAGGAAAAAGGGCTGATAATTAAAACTGAGAAATAGGCTATAGTACGTCTTCCTTTTGTTTCTCATACATAGATACATTTACAACACCATCGTATCAAATTCATAGATTTATATTAGTAAAAAAATACATGACTTACTTTTTCCCAAAATGATTGTGGTGTTAACTGACTGATTAGGCTAACAAAGCGCCTACACACGGTCATCAGGTATGCTTGACTAGCACATTCCAGTTCTAATGTCCGCAAGTAGCACTAGGTCCAAAAGGCAAAGGCAAAGTACAGTGTAACAATTACATCCACTAAGTTCTACAGTTTATCAGCGTTGCTGAAAGGTCAAGTAACACAAGCGTAGAGTTCTGTGCTTACAACAGATTCTTTACAGTTTCTACAAGATATCCGGATTACCAGGGTGTTTGTACCAAGTTGGTAGGACTTGACTGTACCACCCTTTTGTACCGCCATTTTGCCATTAAACGGTCCCTCTCGCTGCCCATCATAATACTTTAATTTGAAATGCCGACCGTACGAATGTAGGTATTTAAAGCCTTTTTTATGAATGGAGATGAGTGCTGGATGAGTGGCACGACCTTGTAGTCTTGTTTTATACAGTTAATCAGGTTATTATCTAAAATTTGTTCAGTTTTGAGTATTTGTTTAAGATTGGACACCATTTAAACTTGTGAAACTCAAGCAAAAACATCGTCATCAAAGCATTTAACCAAACCTAAAAAAATCTTTGAGCCTTGCTAAAAAAAAGAACAGTGAAAAGTAAACCACAATTTTCCTAGTTTTTGTTGCCAATTCAAACTTCAAAGTTCCTATATACTAAAAGCGCCTATAAAATGTAAGACTATAAGACCTTGAGTGATGTCGATGGGCTCGTACAAGATGGCGTCAGGATTCTCGGCTGCCACCTCCTCAATGTTGACACCTCCTTGTGATGAGGCGATGAGTACTGGGCCCTGTGTGCAACAGTAACAGTTGTAGAGTAAAGCTATATGTTACAATAGTAGCCTACCTATACAAGTTAAAAAAAATATTATAACTTTTCATTTGATCCTTGGTTACAATTAGCCGTATGCCAATACCTCTTTAAAATTGATACCAGCACTAGTTCCTCTCCGAAATCAATTCTTAATTCTCGATAGTGTCATTTTAATTCTTTGGTGCTAGATAAATTATTATCTAACAAAAGTCCATATTAGATAGTAAAAAGGACCAGGGTTTGGACTGTCCCCTAAGAAAAATTTAAAATATGCCAATGGCATTTTCGCAAACGAAATAAATTTTTTAGGTATATTTTCATCCCTTGTTATGGTTAATTACAGTCAACACAAGTAATAGTTAACACACATAAAGACACTTTCTACACAAACGTGGTCGATTGTCGCATATTTCAACAGGATTCAGAGATTTTGTGAATCCAAAAACACAAAGTATTAAGAATGGATGTTTCCTCGTTATTGTTGGTATCAAAAGCTTCGTTCAACTGAGGACTGCAATTGGCCCATCCCCATTTTCAAAGTTTAACCATGAAATTTATGGTTTTTTCAAGTTTTTTAAGTTTGATTAAATTTTGGCTTATTCACAGTTACTTAATTACTGAATCCATAAATTTGAATTATAAATAAAATATTGCAAATATTATTGCTTAACAGTATACAATATAGATATCACTATATATTTTATCATAGGTTTCTGTAAAATAGTTTGCAACTGCAAATGTATCGTAACATAACAATTGACTGTTTCCGCAGATAAGGTTATAAAAAGCAAAGCCATAAGTGATAAAACACTCTAGATTAGCAAAGTGAATTGCTTCTGTAACATAAACAATCATGTATAGAACTTTACTTATGTTGTTCATTTATTAACATGATAAGATACAGATAAGTTAATTGTTAGTTTCCACACAGTGTGTTAGTTATCTTTAAATCTCCTTCTTTATACCATCACAGATAACTACAGTCGAACCTCTATAAGACAAATTTCAACGCATAGGGGAAAAATTTTAACTATCAAGGTATGCTTAGTAAGGAGGTTCGTTTTATCGAGGTTTAATATTGACGTTATTCGTCTTAGAGAGGTTTCTCCTCAGTATTATAGAGGTTTCTCCTCGCTCTGAGATAACCTCTATACAATGACTGAGGAAGGAAGAGGGATGGGTGGGGGTTTCATGTTGAGACAAGCTTCTGTTTGTTTTAAATACGTACTATGGTGGTTAAAATCATGATAAATTTCTCTTATAGAGGTCGCATTTGTCTTGTAGAGGTTTGTGTTAAGAATATTCGTTGTATAGAGGTTAATCAGTCCTAGCCCGCGTCACAAACAAATTCGTCTTATGGAGGTTTTTAACCTAATTACTACTTTGTATATAGAGGTGTTTTTAGCATTGACCTTTATGAAAGTTTCAAGGGGATTAAAAAAAATAATCCTAACGAGGAATTTGTTTTACTGAGGTTCGTACTAACGTGGTATGACTGTACTTTGATAACACACAGCTGTTTTTGTTCTCCTTCCACGTAGACATTACCAAACTATTTTATCTGAACCACTTAACTTTTGTTAACAAAGCCACTTCATTTATTCTTATAACTTTAAATATTACCTTTAATAAAAATAATTAATTTAAATAATTAATAAAAACCTTTAGTAACTGGAATTCTGGATATCCCAAACTATCTCCCCTTTCTTAAGGTTTGGTGAGGGGGGGACTCTTTTAACGAACGTTAGGGAACAAACTAGTCTTGGGGTAGAGCGACGGGCCCCAGGATCTCGGGTTCAAATCCTGTCAATCACCAATAGATTTCATCTAAGCCTTAATGCAGCGACCCTGGAGGCCTAAAATATTTTTTTTTTTTACTGTAACTTACTTCTTTCAACAAATCCAGTATACCAAGTCAAATGCTCAATCCTGTATATAAAAACTTACAGAGAAAGCTCGCTCCATCATGATGGCGAAGTAGAACTCTCTCCTCGGAAACTTTCTCTCAGTGACCATGACAGCGTTACATATCCGTCCCTTCTCTCCAGTCTGTTTGGTGATCAGGTAGTCTCCCAACATCTGGCCAGCCAGGTCCTCGGCCTCCTCTGGTCTGTAACAAGTACCTAACGTTGATTCTTTGTGTGTCATTATTTGTGATGGTAAGTATACAGTATGTTAGGCCTATTTGAGGAATTGTTGGTGATGTTTCCCATCACGATTGATCTTGCCTGAGCCCTCAGCTTGTACAGACGTGTTCATTACGTTTACCTATGATTTTTTATGACATTATTATTTGTACTATTGTTGTTTTATTTCAGGATAATTATTTCTTGTTTAGACTATTGTACAGTTATCTGTGTAATAATTCTTTTGCAATTTCCAGCTTTAGCTTGGTTGGTGTTTAATTAATCTTGTCTGTGACTGATCATGATTGAAGAAAATATCTGAAAGAATACCTCAAATAAAATATTCCATCAGTTAGAACTTATGACAGTTTAGAAGAGTTACAACTCAAACATCAAATTTTTAGGCATATTCTTGTACGCGATCAAATCTGCAATTTACTGTAAGATTACAATAACTGTAAAGATATAAATGACTAAAAAAACATTATATCAATGAAAAAATCTCAAAACACGCTGTTTCAATAGCTTAACAAAAACTTTTTAATTTTAATTACTTCCTAAGTTTAAAAATAAGGTTTTGACGTATCTGTTATTAACACATCAAGTAGATTTACAATATTACATATTTCAAAATGAAAAAGGTTAGGTTAAGTTAATACAAAAACTGATATAGGCCTACAACAACTTAGGCTTTAATAATGTTATTTTTGATCTGAAACATAAAAAACTTCCATCACTGACTATTAAAAAAATAGACAAAAATACAAGCCGACTCACGTATAGCACATCCTGACGCCTCCTTTCAACCCGCCCTTGAAGTGACCTTTGCCTCTACCACCGGCCAACACCTGAGCCTTCAGTACAATGTCCTTGATGCCCAGACTCTTGGCTAATTCACCGGCCTCCTTCTTTTGCTTGGCCACCCCGAACTTGGGCGTCGGGATGCCTGCCTCGTTCAGCAGTGTGTAGGAGATGTGCTCGTGGACGTTGAGGTTCCTCTTGGGCTGCTGGCTCCATGGCAGAGACGCTCCCAGTAGCTGCAACAAAAGGTGTTTCAACAATATAAGAAAAGTCAATAGCTGTTTGATGGTTCAAAAATGGACCCAGCAGTAATTGATCATTGGGCTTTAATAAAAATAAAGATAAATAAACAGCTGATATTAGTAACAAAGCAATAGTCTCATCCATTCAATGCTCACCCCTCACTCGTCTCAGTTTTGAAATACAGACCCTGATTTTTTGGCATGGTAGCCTATTAATTAAATATATAATCCTTAATATATACCATCTCTTAGCTAACTTTCAACAGTATAGGCTTTTGCAGGCAGTTTTATAATTCGTAACTTTTTTGTGAAAAAAAATTAATTCCCTGCCAGACATCTTTAGTCCTTTCTGAGAAGTCATTTTCCCTTGCTAACGTTTAGCAGTAAATATCATCCTGACAATGCAGGTGACGCTGAATAAATCGATGAACTCTATTTTAAGTTTAATTTGGAATCCATTTTGTAAAACCGTGTGCTCACTAACAATTGTAAAGTATAATTCAAACCATTCAGCAATGGGCTTTGAAAGAACACCTATGATGGAAAAAAGGACAAAGCACAAAAGAAAAAAGGAAAAAGCACAGAGAAATGTAACAAGATTAAAATACCATGTAGTTATAGTGCCCATCTTCAAATCTCAAGCTTACTATTTTGGTTCCAAGTGAGATATATTCAGGTTCCAGATGCCATTAATCATTGGGCTATTAATTAATTAAGCGATCAAACTAAAGATCGATTGTTGATAGTAACAAGATCGGTGTTTGCATCATTTCCACTTTCGTTGTACTAATAACAAGTAACCAGACTGGTATTTTAAACCAAATAAATGTTTTAAAATCCTATAAATATTTCTACAATGGAAGTGTGACATCAAAACTATTCCATAGTGAACAAATGTCAACAAAAGTAGGACTAGATAAAGTGAGGAATGATTAACTGATAAATCCATCATGTGTTCTGATTTAACATTCATGTGTTGTCAAGTTGAAGTCCAAGGTTGCAGCCTTCAGCCTTGGAGATAATATTATCACTTTATTCAATCTACATACACAGGTAATACAGGCATGAAACGGGCAAAAATAATTTCAAAATTATCTTCAGCTGATCCATGAGGACAGTATAAGACAGAATGTTAATCTATGATTAAATTGTATTTAATACACAAAAATAGCTATGAACAGAAAGCAGAGCAATCACATGCTAGAGGTAATAGGAATCAATTTTTCGTTTAGTTTTTAGTGATTCTGTAAGTGAACAAAGTAATGAATGGTCACAAATGATATTTTTTCCGAGGAAGACTTAAATTACGGAAACTCAAGGAAATCAAGTGAAAACTAATGTTGAAGTTGACAATTTAAAGAATGGAACATCTTTATTAGCAGAATTTAAAGGCACACAGAAAAATAACAGTTACAGATACTTGTGTGTAGCTGAAAGTGAAGTTGAAGAAGATGGAGAGGTGAGAGTGATGTGTCTTTAAAAGTGTATGGACAGTACGAGGAAGAAATTTATTCCAGATGAGATTAACAAGTCCTTATATTGGATTTGAACAGATATTAAAGCTTTTTGACCCCACTATTAAAATCCAAGGGAGAGCGCATATTTTATGAATTTCCAAAACCCATAGACATTTTTGAGAAAGCGTGACGTCTTACAACAAGGACTTTTTCTCAAAAAAGTTAATTACAATTCTGCAATTTAATTTTGATAAGAAATCTTATAGTCGTATGTTAATAAATATGCAACTATTGTCTCTATTAAAAATTAAAAAGAAAATAAGTGGTATCTATTCATAAACACCACTTCAGTTTAATTGTCCCGTGCAACACGTGTTGCACGGGACACTTTTTAAATGTATTATAAAACAAAAAATAAAGTACATAAAAAATAGTAAACTACATTGTTGCCTTCATTTTATATTTTATCTTTATTGCTTTGAAGTTGTAATAAATAATATAAATTAGTTTGGGATTTAAAACAAAAATCTCACCTTTTGTGTGTTGCACGGGACAAGCAAACATGGATTGGAAATTTAACAATACCTCAAAATCTATTTAATATTTCTTTTTTCTTTTACAAAGGTTTAACAAACTATATTTTCAATTATTTACTAATGTAAGTTATTTCAATTTATTGACTCATCTAACCATAAACATTTTTACTTAAAATTCTGGAAAAAAGTACCATTTGACTGTAATAGAACTTGCCCAAGTTTGAAGCTTCATTTCATGAAAAATAATTTTTTATTTTAATTTTAAAGACTGGTTAAGGGAGATTCTATTATTGTTTTATATAAAAAACAATGTTTTAACCAGTTTTAATCAATTCTTAAAAATAACAAAGCAGGACCACTTCCCAGAGAATCGCCCACAATAATAAGATATAAAATGTTTAGGCTAACAAATAAAATCTTTGAATTATTTTTTGCCATAGGATTGATAGCTACAATAAATTAAGTTAGCTTGTAATCGTCAATCCACTGTTTACTCAATCCAATGTTTATCCAATAAATACTCAATTGACAATTAGAAGATACATAACCTATTTTGTCATAGTAAGATCCTCAATATTTAAATGTGAGGCAGGCCTGACCTAAAAAGTCACACAATGGTTCCGGGAGGTAATATTAGCAGATCACAGCTAACGGGCAGACTGCCAAACTGTGCCAAGCCTGGCATAAACACAAACCTTCACTAGTTTAGCATGCACATTACTAATCAGTGATTAAAATGTCATTAATATTATATTTATATTTGGCTTCCTTAAGTAATCATCCCAAGCTATCACCTGTACAAAAAACTAAGTTGAGTGAAGCTTTCAGAACGTTTTGAATCTAAGATAAGTACCAAAGTATTCTTAGAGCGGAAATTCAAACCAACTTTTTAAACTAAACCAAAATGTTTTGATTAAACCAAAAATTAGATTTAAAAAGTGAACTGTCTTAAATGCTTCTAGTCTGACTAAGGATAAAAATAGAAATAAAAATCAATCACTGCACAGTCGAAAGGAAACCACTAATTTACTGGGTTGAGCTTAATTGGACAAATCTAAACTGGCTTCATCCGGACAGTTGTTCAAAACAACAAACAACATTCCTAACCTAATAAACTTTGAAAACAAACTAAAAGATCAATGTTAGAGAGAGTAATCCACTAAAAACAATGACTATAAATAGAGGATAAATAATATTTTGTAAACTGTATCTGAAGAATCTATACTAGTTTACATCACATTGACAAACCCTTATTTTTCCTTGATACAATTATAGTACAGCTCAATTTATTTGTACATTATGACAAGAGAATTACAAAATACACCCATGTGAGTATTTAATGTGTGCAGTATGACTCAATACTGGAATGAGTGCATTCTTGGCAAAAAGCCATCAAAGGTAATCAACATAATCTGCCAAGTAAGCAAATAACGACTAAACTCAACAAAAACTATAGTCAGCGCTACGACAGGCTGTTATCTTGCACTAATGAATATGAGTGACATCAGGTTTTCTATCTTGTTATTAGATTTTTTGAAGTAAACTTAATTAAGTGACAGCCCAAATCACCAACTACCTATGTACAAGGTCGATCTTCCAGTTTCCAGATTTATTACCTTTCAGATGGATCGAAACTTTAAGACAATTTTGGCTTGACCAAATTGATGATATTCAACAATTTGTACATTTCTTAGAATATTTTCTGATAAAAAGCAGAATTATTTGTAATAAACCCTCTGATTCTCACAGTAAACCACAGTTTTATCAAGCTTGAATTCCTAACAGGATGAAATTTATGACATCATGGGCATAAACACTCCCGACTGGAGCAGGTCCCCATTTGGAATTTTGGGTCCAATGATCTGTTATGTGACTTTTTGGCTGGACCTGCCTTAAATATTGAGAACCATACTTTGACAAAATAGGTTAATCAGTCAAGTATGTATTGGATAAAAAAGAGACGTCAAGATAGGTAACCTATTTATTTCTAGCCATCAATTATGGAGGGAAAAACCAATAAATAGAAGATTTTATCAGTCAGTGTATATTAGTGTTGAAGTTAAAAAACCCATAAACTAATCTTAGTGGAGTCAAACATGTTTTAGGCCTAAATTTTCCCAATTTTCTTGGAGTTTTAAAAAAGTTCTACAACTAGTCACTAAAAAATCCTTTATCTTCAATATAGGATTTTATTGAGCGAAAAACACATTGTATACAAGCCTAAGTTAATCTACGCTGTTTTTTATCGTTTGTGTGACCTGTTGGTTATTTTTAGGTCATAGATTATTGACCAATGCTGATACTGTTGCTTACAATGTAAACGTGTCATTGGCAAATAAACAATTTTATTCTTATTCAACTTTAATATGGTTGTATTTAATTTAAAGCAGGAAAAAACTAGCAGCAAAACCCCGCAATGCCTGGGTCAAAATAAAATTCACAATAATCGTTATACAGGATGTCTCGGAACTCTCTACCAATATTTTAGAGCATTGATCCTGGGTAAGAAACGTACCTAAATATCACAATTATGAAGATTTTTCAAATTCATAAAAAAATGGTGTCCATTTATAATTTTCTTTCTTAAATAACTCAAAAACCATTTATTTTACAAAAATTTTAAATGGCCGCCATTTTGTTTTATGAATTTGAATAATCAAGATAATTTTTTGGTAGCTTTGTCTAGTTGTCATAAATGTTTGTGCAAAGTTTCCATTTCGTATGTTTAACCATTCTTTAGAAAAAAATTAATAACTAAAAAAAACAAAATGGTGGCTGTGTGAGTAATTAAGGACTTCCGGACAGTTTAAATATGATATTTAGTTATGTTTCTTACCCATGAGCAATGCCCTAAAATATTAGTAGGGAGTTCCGGGACACCCTGTATAATATGTTTTTTGATTGATTAACAGTAGAGACAAAAGAAATACCACAAAAAAATATTTGGCCTAAATATTCCAAATTTACCATTTCAAAATAACAATATAGGTATCTAAATGGT